TTACCTTTTAGGATCTCTAATATAGAACTGGTTAAACCCAAAAAAGGAACTACAATGGAGACTATAGGTATTCCCGAGTAGTAAAGCTCGCCATCCTACTCCAAGTCTATTAACTGCTGTCTCAGTTCACGCGCCTCGACACGTTGCAGCACTGCGCGCTTGGGACCCCTGCTGTAGAATACTAGCGCAAGCCCTGTACAGTCGTCTCGACTGGCTACGACCCTTTTGATGTAGTGCCTAAGGAGTATCTGCTTGGGCCTAAGGGACACCTAAGCTAATCGTTTCGTTCCCGCACCAGCAGTTTATGCTGTGGTACCCTGTCTCGAAAAGTTTCCCTAAATCGTAGACAGTGATTTCGTGATACGCTTTGTAGAAAATTACCCCAACAGGAACTCTTATAGTGCGCCCTACGACTCTACGGAACCCCTTGTAATACCACCTTTTCACAGAGGCTCCACATATAGTACCATTATTTAATCAGATCTCAAAAGACCATAGTCTTAGGGACCTATTTCCACAATGGTAGTATATGTGGAGTCTCTTGGTTTTAGGAGATCGCTGAACAAACCTTTAAGACCCGAGACTCGAGATGGTGAAGCCGGAGCAGCCCGACACTCTAGGGTTTAGGGTTTACGGTTTAGGGTTTAGGGTTAGTTTAGGGTTTACGGTTAGTTTAGGGTTTAGGGTTAGTTTAGGGTTTAGGGTTTAGCCACTGAGGCCCTGAACCCTGCACACCTATAGATCCACGGAAGATCCTTTAAGGAACTCTTGCTAAACCCCTAGAGCTCCTTTTAAGATCCCATTAAGGAACCCTCCCTAAACCCGGATAGGTGCCTTGAAGATCCCTTTGAGGAACCCTATAAGGTAGAAGCCAGAAAGTTCGAATATCATTATCATAACCCCTTTAAGGTAAATTATAGGGGACCCTACCATGAAACCATATTCCAACTTTCTGGAGTTCCCTTTAAGCCCTAAGCCGACAAAGAACTCCGAAGGCTTATTTCCACAGGAGGCTGCGTCAGCGGCCGCCACAGAGGCCGGGGCAAGTTCGAACGGGACAGGGAGGCAGGTGCATGGTTTAGGATTTAGGGTTGGGGTTGTACGGTCTTGCGTTTGGGGGGTATGGTTTTGCTGGGGGTTGGGATTGAGTTTAAGAGCGTCTAAGGTTTATTGTTTAACTGTACATCTCTTACAACGGATGAAGATTGGGTTGTTGAAAGACGCGCTGTATTAATGATCCGGGGTCACATTAAGGGAACTTCGTTGCTCTACCTTCCATGGGGTGCCTTCAGCATGTCCTTAACCCTGCTCCCGAAGCCCTGAGACCTAACCAAAGCCCTAAAGCCCTAAACCTGAAACCCTAAACCCTTAAAACCCCCTAAACCCAACACTCCGAAATCCCCGAACCCTAGCGCGTAAACCCTAAAACCCGAAACCCGAAACTCGAGGCTAAGGCACCCTTAAGCGAACTGTACTTGGGTACATCTACCCTTAGGGGAAACTCGAAGCCTTTAACTTATTAACGAAGACCGAGGCAATGAAGGCAGCTGTGGCCGCCGGCTTGTCGGCAGAGGCTGCAGAAGAGGCGTCGACCACGAAACCCTAAACCCCGAAACCCCAAACCTTACACCCTAAACCCTAAAAGCCCTAAACCTTAAACCCTAAACCCCAAAAAGGGTTACATTTTTCGAAAAACGAGCTTGAATCAGTCGAAGCAAGGCACCCCTCAACCGAATTCCCTAAGCCCTATAACTCTCCCACAAATCAAAAGCCCAACTATAAGATTCTTGTTCAAATTGTCGTTGTGTTTCCTATGTTGGGGGTCCTGCTTGTCTCGTCGGGGTCTGGAAAAGTATGCTTTTGCTTACCATCCAAGCGGAGGAGCAATTACAGCTGAACCAACAACCTAAACCCTAAGCAACTCAAAAACGTGAACAGACTGCCTGTCGGGTGGCGGCTGCTGTGGCCGCCCGAACTGCCGTTGCTTCTGGCCGTGGAGTGAGCAGAGCAGCAGAAGAGGCTGGGGGAAGGGCAGAGCCCTGAAACTCTGAACCCTAAACCCAGCCCTAAACCCTGACGGTTTGGGGCTTGGGTCCAGGGCTCAGGGTTTGGGGATTGGGTTCCAGTAAAGTTTGCTTGGCGAAACTGTTTTATTTGGGTTTTAGTAGGCTGTTAGGCTTGTTTTGAAGTGTTTCTGCCATACTGTAAGAGCTCCCTGAATGTTAGGGTTGGACTCCTGTAATTGGTTTCGGCCCAGGTTCCATGATCGGGATCTCAGGGTTTGGACACTAGGATTCGGGCTCTCCATTTCTAAACCCTGAACCCTAAACGCTAAGCAGTGTAGGCTCGGGTTGGCTTCTATATTGTGTATGGCTCATGCTCATAGATTCTAGGCCGTAAGAGCACTGGTTCTTTCGATCTCGGGGTTCAATACTATAGGGGCCTCAAAAAAAGTTACCTACACTATTTTGGTGGCTCCTCTAATCGTTATAGTATAATGGGCCCCAAAACCTGTTCTAATATTTAAGGCACCTATATCATGGTACCCTTATAGATCCCTTATAGCAACCCTTATGGACCCCTTTGAAGGAATCCTACTCTAATTCTTAAGGCCCCGTTTAGTAAGGTTCTAGTGTCTTCATTTCCAGAGGGCTTTAAGAGTGAGGGGCTCCATTGTAGGGGGGGTCCAAGGGGGGTATATAGCCTAGTGAACCCTAATTCTCCCTAGTGCTCCCTAAGGTTCCCCTAAGGATTCCTTGTACCCTCCCCCCTTGAACCACCCCCCCTCCCAAACCCTAAACCACAAACCCCTAAGCCCTAAATCTTGAACCCCCAAGCCAAAACCCTACATTTTGTTAGGCCCATACACCCCTAAACTCTTAAACTAAGGCCTTAAAACCCTAAACCCGATAAATCCTAAACCTTATAAACCCTAAACCCTATAAACCTTAAACCCTCGAAACCCCAAACCCTATAAACCCTAAACCCTATAAACCCTAGACCCCTAACCCCAAAAGACGAAACACCAGCCCCTAGGCGAGCCGCGCTGCTGGGAAAGTTGCGCGGAAATCGAAGATGCCCCCAGAGAAGGCTGGTCCTGTTCCCTTGAGGGTCCATGTACTTTCGGAGGGTTTAGGGCTTGGGGTTTAGGGTTTAGGGGTTTTGGGGGCTTGGGGTTTTGGGTTTAGGGTTTATAAGGGTTTAGGGGTTACGGTTTATGAGTTTAAGGTTTAGGGTTTTGGGCGGGCCCATGTACTTCCGGGGTGTTTCGGGTTTAGGGTTTGGGGTTGAAGGTTCCTGTGAGGGCTCCTCTAAGGGTGCTTTTAAGGGCTCGAGTTCCCTACTTGGAGGATCGGGGGGCTTAGTAAGTAGTTGCTTTTAGCTGCAACTATCGCAACCCCGATTGAGATTCCTTTTGGGGTACTTATAACTCTACTTCTTCTCTGCTTACAAACTAGGACTAGGACCCCGACCCTCCAAGTAAAGGTCCTTGTGCTCATTTAATGCTTCCCTAAGTTCTGTAAAGATTTTGCAGGACGTAGGGTATACGGGTCCACGTGCTCATAAAGTATATACTTTGGCTTTAAAGTAGTCCCTACATAGGTACTTTGGGGCGAAAATATATGCTATTTGGGACCCACTAAGGGTTGCGGGCTTGTGATTCTGGGCACTCTGATTGTCGGTTTGGGGTTTGCTCTCGTTTTGTTTTTGTCATAAGCCGGCAGGGGACGGGGGGGGCTTGGGCTCAGTCGTTCAATAAGATCACTGTTCCACAGGTTCAGGGTTCGGAGGTTTAGGGTTTAGGGGTTTGAGAGATTCAGGATTCAAGGGTTTCAGGGGATTCAGGGTGTAGGGTTCAGTCCCCAAAATCCGTCTGAGAGGGCAAGAAATCCCGAATGTGTTCGAAGGTGGCAGAGATGGCAGCGCTGGCCACGGCCGACGCCCGCTTAGAGCTGGCGGTGGCGTTTCAGGCACCTTGTCTCGGTTTCTTGCTAGTTTAGTCGTTTAGGGGTTTAGGGTTTGGTCGTTTAGGGGTTTAGGGTCTAGGGGTTTAGGGTTAATTAGGGGCTTAGGGGTTTAGGGTTTAGGGGCTTTGGGGTTTAGGGTTTAGGGTTTTCTTGTGTGCGGGGAAACCCCAGCAATTCAGCGGCGGATACGATTCGGGGGGGCAGCCCGAGCCCAGAGCAACCGAGGTCAAAGCGGCGAGAACATATGGGACTTTTTTGAAAATTATGGTACCTTATTCTGGAGTCCTTTAAATAAGGAACCTACTACATAGGGTACTATATAAGGGTCCACTATAATCGGAAACTCCCATATGGGGCTGCCCTATCGATTCTGATCCCATTCAGGGTTTAGGGCTTTCGGCATTACGGTTTCATGAAATGTTTCGGGGTGTTTTTCAAATAGTCGGAAATCCGACCATTGCACGGAGCTTAGGAGCTTGTTATCTGAGGTTGCGATCAGGGCTGGCAAAGTATGCAGAGCACTTCCAAGCCATAGCACCCAATGTCGGCCCTTTGCCTAAGGCTCCATGTGCCCATATAGTATATACTTAGGCCTTACAGTACCTATATAGGGACTACTTTGGGGCTTAAGTGTCTACTATAAAGGTACATGGAGCCTTAGGGTTTGCCATCACTGACTTCTTGGGACCCCGCGCGCGGCAAAAGTCTGAGTTTTCTTGGCAGCGACGGTTACGGCGAACTTCTGCAAACTCCACTGCTTGTGGCCTTCCTATAGTCTCCATTGCAGTTCCTTTTTTTGGTTAAGCAAGTCTATATTAGAGGATCTTAACCATAGAATTGGTTAACCCAAAAAAGGAACTTCAATGGAGACTACAGGTTGTTCGTTCGGCACAAGGTGTCTGGCAGGGCGGGGGTGGGCCCTGCAACTAAGCCAGCCGGCCGAAGGGAGGCCAAGCGACTTGCTGAGATTTCCGTGCCGGCCTGAAAGCATCCACCCCTACTAGAGGGCCTAAACAAATACCCATGTTTTTTTTTTTTTTTGTTTGGGGGGGTCCTTGTTATAAGTACAGTATGATGGGCCCAAACCTTACTCTAATTATCAAGGCCCCGAAAAAACCCCTCCCTGGCCCTCCGCCGAAACGCTGACCCTAAACTCCAAAAAAAGCGTTGCTATATAATCTCTGGGCCCAAACCCTAAACCCTAAACCCCATAAACCCTATAAACCCTTTAAGCCCTATAATAAACCCTAAACCCTAAATCCAAAACCCTACCCTTCCCTAACCAACATCCCCAAAAAACCCAACATTTTACACCCTAAACGGCACTAAACCCCAGAGCCGAGCTGCTGGGGCCTTCTCGCAAGTAATCTTTAATCAGAAGCCTTATAGTAGATACTTAAGCCCCAAAGTAGTCCCTATATAGGTACTTTAAGGCCTAAGTATACACTTTATGGGCACATGAAGCCTTAGGGTAAGGTACCCAAACAGGAGCAGCCACGTATGCTAGGATGCCCAGTAGTACCCTTATTCCCTTTTTGTAGTCCTAGGCTCCTTGTAAAGAGGCCTTTTTATTCTTAGGTTACTGGGTATCCTAGCTAGGCTTGAGGGTGCGAATGCCATTCCTGAGGGTTCCGGATGAAATTGTGGTATCATAGTTGTACAAAATTCAGCACTTTGTTCCAAATATTTGGGTTGCTTTGCTACCCAAACTAAAAGATTTTTTGCTGCTGAGCCATAATGCCCGGACTTCTGTTAACACATAATCAATTATAGGCATAAATAGGGGCCGAACTACTTATAATTCCCTAATTTGCAGTACACGATCTTTACTGTAGGATTGAGGGTGTAAAGTGGTCTTAGTGATTACCTGAACTATTGTCGGGTTCCTCAGAATTAATTAGACTATAGTAACTTAGTATATCCCAAAACTCAGAACAGAGGGCTGTGGTGAAGTGTACGGCAGACTTCGAGAAGCTGGAAGGTGGCTCCAGACGGCCTACGTAGACCCGAACTGCCAAGCTCCATGTAGGGTATTGATGTAACTCCGCGCAACTTTAGAAGCAAACTGTTTCGGCCACCTTGAGGGCATCAGGACTTTGCTTTTAAGCCCGAGAAAGCCGAGGTTGCTCCCGCCGTGCAGTGGACACCGGAAGAGGCAGGATAATGTAGGTAGGGGCCTTAATTGTTAGAATAGGGTTTTGGGGGCTCCTTAATGGAATTATAGTATAATATCCCCCCAAACCCTATTATTTAGGCCCCTAAATTACTCTAACGGGCATTGAGAGTGTGGGTTCAGGATTGGACCCTATATAAACCCAAGATCCTAAACCCACCTTCCCATGAGTGGTCATGTTGCTTCCATGATCGATGTCCGACGCGAACCTGCCTGTGCTGTTTATATAAGAGTTACCTTGTACAAAGAACCTACTAGAGCTTACTACAGTAAACCCACATATCCCGACCCTCTATGAGAATTACAGGGGGCTTACAAATTGCTACCGCTACTGCAGCATCTGCTGCTGCGGAAAGACAACGAACACCGTTGACAAACAGATGGCAAAAAGAGCGTCACGCATGGACGGTGTTGTTTGGATTGCTGTGTGTTGTAGGCTTAAAGCCTTCATATGGGGGTCGAAATAATTAGCCTGACAATTCCCCTAGAGTTTGAGTACATCCTGACTAACTAACTATCAGGCCCTAAATCACCCAACCCCGTCCCGAAACGATAGACTCCGCAAAATCTTTGCACGCACGGAGCTGAAAACTTAAACCCTAAACTCCAAAGCCCTACCTGGACCCCGACAGTATGCAGAAAAATTGCCTTTTATAGATGTCGGGCCATTATTCTACCTACTTTTGGGCGCTTATAGCTCTACGCAGTCTACACCCTTACGTAAACCTTCAACCCTTCGCCTACGAGGCAGCCAAGGCAGCGGCACAGGCAGCACGACAGTCCGGCAAGAAGCCCGAGGATGGTCCCTCGGGTCTACCTAGAGTCTCCATTGTAGTTCCTTTTTTGGGTTTAACCAATTCTATATTAGGGATCCTAAAAGGTAACCCCAAAAAGGAACTACAATGGAGACTATAGGTAGGGTTTGACTTAGAGTGTAGAGTTCAGGGTTTTGGGTTGAGTGCAGAGTTTAGGGTTCAGGGTTTAGTTTAGGGCTACCTAGACACACCTAGACCCTAGAATGTGTTACCTTCTTTGGGGTATCCTTTTCTTTGGTTAGGAACCTGTACTTAGAAACTCAGGCAACCAAAACAGATAGTAAATTTCGCAAAGTTTCACCAGCCTTTTTACTGCGTTTGGAGCTTCTACTTCAAGGTTTTTTGGGTGCATTGCACTGCCACCCTAGACCTTCCGTTACGTGCAAAACCCGCAGCTTAGTAAACCTTAAACCCCTAAGAGTGCATTTCTGGCAGCAGGGCTTTGTCTTATTAGAATTTTGGGCATAGTCTCAGGAGTCTGCGGTTTCGAGTTGAGGGTTCAGGGTTCAGGGTACGGGTCAATGCAGAATCTGTTATCACATTATTATTCGCTTTTGCCTGCCCCGCGCACAAATATTCGTTGAGCGCTTCTAAAGAGTCTCGTCCAATTACTGAGGCCCCTATATGCAGATTTAAGATTCAGCATTAGGGTTTGGGGCCGCTCGAGTCCAGGTACTAGGGATAAGTTTAAGTTTCCTTTATCGTTCACTATATATCCTTAATGATAAGGTTAAGTTTCCCTTATCGTTTAATACAGAGTTTTAATGATATATAAGTTTAAATTCCCCGTATCATCGTTTAATATAGAGCCTTTATGATACATAGTTTGGGGGACTGTTGAAATCCACACGTAGCTTAGGGTTTTATGATCCAGGGGCATAGCGGCATTGCAGCGGCATGCCGGAAATTTGGTATGAGGGTGCAAGGTCTGGTGATGCAGAATGTGGAGTCTAAGGAGTCTAGTCTAAGGTTCTTTGTCTAAGGATGTAGAGTCATTCACTTTTTCGGGCTTGGCATCTAAAGAGTCTGGAAGCCCCAACAGGAGGCGGCGAAGGAGGCCGCAGCAGCTGCAGGAGCAGCAGCAGCAGAGGTCAGGGATGGGGGCTTGGGGTTTAGGGGTTTGGGGTTGAGGGTTTAGGTTGAAGTACTCCAACGGTGAAAGACTGAAAGTAGGGAGCAGAATGCACAGTGATAATGTAGTCTTCGTGAGTGCTTTTGTTTATACGGGAATAAGGGTCCGAAAAGAAAAGACCTGTTCGAATCGTGAAAGCGCCCTTGCAACCTCTGGCCTAGCTTACCTTTATATTATCGGGAACCCCAAGCCCCTTGCTTTTCGGTTGGATACATCACGATTGTATACCCGAAATATAGAACCCAGCAACCCCAAAAAAAACCAGGTAATTGAACTGCCTGGGTAAACCTGAAAATCCTAAATCCTAAACCCTAAACCCTAAACCCTAAACCCTAAACCTTAAACCCTAAACCCTAAACCCTAAACCTTAAACCTTAAACCCTAAACCCTAAGCCCTAAACCCTAAACCCTAAACCTTCAGCCCTATTAAGTCCTGCACCCTAAGCCCTGAAACCGTGTAGTCCCCCATAACCCAGCCATAGACCCTAAGGCTCCATGTACCCACATAGTGAATACTCAGGCCTTAAAGTACCCATATAGAGACTAGTTTGGGGCTTAGGTATCTACTATAACGGTACATGGAGCCTAGGGTAGAGCTTGGTGGCTTAGCTGGAAGGTTTGCGGGTTTACCCGGTCACGCAGCGGCAGGCTGCCCGTCGTGCGGGGAAGTCTGCATCGGAAGCGGCGGCTGCCGGGGCAGCGGCGGCGAAGGAGGCTTCTGCCCAGGGCCTGCCAAAATGCCTTAAGGAATAGAATTAGTCGAATTTCCAGGGATTCTGGGATGTATAGGGGGTTCGGATGTAGAGGCTTGAAGTTCAGAGCTTGCCAAGACATATAGAATAGACTAAACTGTTTCCATAGTAGGAGTAGGTGCAACCCCTTCTGGTGAGCAAGACTGAGCTCCTCAGTTAGGGTCGGTTTGGGATTCGGGCTCCCTCCGAAGATTCGATGAAGATTCACACAGGAATTAGAACTTCACCATACCATTTATGGCCAGCGGTAGGGCGGGTATGAAGGCTTCGTTCGTGAAGACTAGGGTATGGGTTGGGATGAGGATGGGACGGTGATCGCAATGCTGACGATTATGGCGGTGACGATGCTAAACATGATGTGCATGGAGATGTTCAGAGCTTGTTGAGATTATGAGACTGAGATCTTGTTGGATGTGAGCTATGATTCGAGGGGTATATCTCAGCTCAGATGTTGGAGGATGTGTGTATAGAGCTATGACCAAACCTTCGCAATGTCTAGCCAAATCCCAATTTTTGGAGTCGCGCGCATTGTGTGTGGGATTGCCCAAAATCCGATTAGACTGAACCGTCAACCCCTAACACCGAAATCGTAGACCACGGGAGCCCCAGGCCGCCTCAGCCGCTGGCTTGAGTGAAGCGGCTTCAGCTGTGGCAGCAGCCGGTGTGGCACCTTTGCGTTCAAGGAGAGGTCCACATACGAAAGTAGGGTTGAGGTGCGAGGTGTATGAGCTTCGCGTGTTCATAGCGCTATACCCTAAACCCTGAACCCTAAACAGTGCCTTGGCCTTAGCTATCGGATGTTCGAGAATTTGGGATGAAGGATGCTGAGGTTCAGGGTATCGGCCCGTATCGGCTGGCTTGAAAGACTTACCCAAGCATGAATGCATGTGTGCATCTACATACGTATATGTGTGTATATACATGTATACATATATACATATATGTGTATATATATATATATGTACTTGTATATGCATCTATATATGCCTGTTTTCAATGATATATATATATATATATATATATATATATATACACATATATATATATATATATATATATATATATATGTATATAAATAGAATTGTATGTACATATTAATATTAGCATAAATATGAATATCAACATCTGTAATCTAATATAATATGTGGCGCTTAGGTGAGGGACGCACCTTCCCATCCTTCCAGACCCAGAGATCCCAATACCCCTTAATTAAGGAATATACCTGAAATTATAGTAGGATCCTTAATATGATTTAAGGAATATTCCTTAATTAAGGGATTTTGGAGTCTCTGGGGACCAAGGCTGGGAGCTTGGCGGCCGAGGCTGCAGCCGAAAAAGGACTGAGCCCTGAGGAGGTCGGAGACGCAGAGCACAGGAAGGGTTTATGATTTGGTTGGTTTATGATTTGGGGGTTTAGGGATTTAGGGGTTTAGGGCTTTAGGGGATTTAGGGATTTAGGGGGTTTAGGGCTTTAGGGGGTTTAGGGATTTAGGGGTTTAGGGATTTAGGGGTTTAGGGCTTTAGGGGATTTAGGGATTTAGGGGGTTTAGGGCTTTAGGGGGTTTAGGGATTTAGGGGTTTAGGGATTTAGGGGTTTAGGGATTTAGGGGGTTTAGGGATTTAGGGGGTTTAGGGATTTAGGGGGTTAAGGGATTTAGGGGTTTAGGGATTTAGGGGTTTAGGGCTTTAGGGGGTTTAGGGATTTAGGGGGTTAGGGATTTAGGGGGTTTAGGGATTTAGGGGGTTTAGGGATTTAGGGGGGTTAGGGATTTAGGGGTTTAGGGATTTAGGGGGTTTAGGGTTTTAGGGGTTTAGGGATTTAGGGGTTTAGGGATTTAGGGGGTTTAGGGATTTAGGGGGTTTAGGGATTTAGGGGGTTTAGGGATTTAGGGGGTTTAAGGATTTAGGGGGTTTAGGGATTTAGGGGGTTTAGTGATTTAGGGGGTTTAGGGATTTAGGGGGTTTAGGGTTTTAGGGGTTTAGGGATTTAGGGGTTTAGGGATTGATTACGGGGTTAGGGATTTAGGGGGTCTAGGGATTTAGGGGGTTTAGGGTTTTAGGGGGTTTAGGGATTTAGGGGGTTTAGTGATTTAGGGGGTTTAAGGATTTAGGGGGTTTAGGGATTTAAGGGGTTTAGGGATTTAGGGGTTTAGGGATTTAGGGGTTTAGGGATTTAGGGGGTCTAGGGATTTAGGGGGTTTAGGGGTGTAGGATTTAGGGTTTGTGTAGGATTTAGGGTTTAGGGGTTAGGGTTTTGGAGGGTTTAAGAGTTCAAGGGGTTTAAAGCGTTTGAGGGTTTAGGGGTTTTAAGGGTTTGAGGGTTTAGGGATTAGGGTAGGGGTCTTCTGCTTGCTTTGTTGTGTTTCTGCAGTGTTTGGCCGGGTTTCGTCAATGGTTTGCAGGTTTTCGCAGTGTTTGTTTCTGCGATGCTTTGGGTTTTCTAGTTGTTTCGGATGTGTTGTATCGATCCTTTGTGGGGTGTCTCTAGGGTTACGCACCGTTTACTATGGTTAGTCATCGGGGATTCGTTTCTTGAGGCTTCCCAAACAATGTGCTAGACTCGCCTGGAGGCCCTACGGCTTCATGTGCCCATATAGTATATACTTAGGCCTTAAAGTACCTATAATAGGGACTACTTTGGAGCTCTTAAGTTTCTACTATAAAAGTACATGGAGCCTTTGGGAGGGCTATCTTGAGCTTCAGGCTGTGGGCTCGTCTCTGTTCTGCGAGACTGGAAGATATTATACCTGGACCCTAAGGAACCTACCATTTTCGGGTTCCCTAATATGATCTCTTTATATAAGTCCCCAAAAAGGTACTTTACAACTTTTGGCAAGTATCATGGTTTAGGGATCAGTGCTCAAGGCTTACATGTCTTGCCACACCCTGCGCAAACTTTTGAGGGTACCTCCGAAAGGGGTCGGGTATGACTCCCTAGGCCAGGAATGGGATGTAGTGGAGCCAGGCGTCTAGAGGATGCTTCGAGATTTCACAGGAGCGGCAACAGTAATGTTACGGCCCGTTTAATAGTGGGGTACCCCCCCCCCCCCCCCCGACCAAAAAAAAAAATTCTATTTAATATGGAACCGGTAGCCCCGGACAGGGGTCAGGGGTCGGTCTGAGTGGCAGGGAATTGGGAGGTGCCGGGGTTTGGGGGCTGGCTTGGGTGCAGGGTCTGCGGTTCTGCGCGGCTGCGCGGTCGGGGGTCGGGGGGGTCTGGGCCAGCGCCTGAAACCCTGAACCCTGAACCCTAAACCCTAACGAATGCTAAACTCCTAGACCCTATAACAAACCCTAAACCCTAAGCCCTAAACCCTTCCAAAGGGGGGTCGGTCCAGATTCGACCCAAAACTTAATTTTTTATACAAACTTTAGTACTGGAGAGGCCTCTTTTGAGCTAGGGTCCAATCCCCGATTCGGCGGTTCACCCTAGCAGCCCCCCCCAATAATCAAGGTATAGTAGTAGTAGTACAGTAGTAGTACAGTAGTAGTATAATAATAGTGCAGTAGTACAATAGTAATACAACAGTAGTACAGTGGTAGTACAATAGTAGTACAGTAGTAGTACAATAATAGTACAGTAGTACAATAGTAGCACAATAGTAGTACAGTAGTAGTACAGTAGTAGTACGATTATAGTACCGTAGTACAATAATAGTACAGTAGTAGTACAGTAGTAGTACAATAATAGTGCAGTAGTACAATAGTAATACAACAGTAGTACAGTGGTAGTACAATAGTAGTACAGTAGTAGTACGATAACAGTACAGTAGTACAATAGTAGTACAGTAATCGTACAGTAGTAGTACAGTACAGTAGTACACTAGTAGTACAGTAGTAGTACCACAGTAGTACAGTAGTACAGTAGTAATACAGTAATAGTACAGAAATAGTACCAATAAGCAAAGCATAAAGCCAGTGAGTACATTCCCCCAATAAGCAAAGCATAAAGCCAGCGCCTGAAACCCTAAACCCCGAACCCTAAACCCTAAAGAATCCTACACTCCTAAACCCTATAACAAACCCTGAACCCTAAGCCCTAAACCCTTCCAAATGGGGGTCGGTCCAGATTCGACCCAAAACTTAATTTTTTATACAAACTTTAGTACTGGAGAGGCCTCTTTTGAGCTAGGGTCCAATCCCGGATTCGGCGGTTCACCCTAGCAGCCCCCCCCAATAATCAAGGTATAGTAGAATAGTAGTACAGTAGTAGTACAGTAGTAGTACAGATTTTCATTCCTGACGCCCCAATAAGCGAAACAATTCTGCAAGAGATTTTCGGGCTTCAGGGCCAGGGTTTTAGGGTTGGGTGGGGGTTTGGGTGGGGGTTTAGGTCGTGGCTGCCTTAAGATTGACCATCAGCAAATAGCACAGCCCCGCCACCAAAAAATCACCCCAGCCAAAAAAAAACGCATTAATTAGAACAAGCCAATTTTTTTGTCAGATTCGGAATTAGCCCCCGAGCCGACGCATTAAAGGAGCCCATATTCCTAAAGGGACCGTAACATTAAGAGTAAGAAGCATAGTGCACTAGGTCAGCCATACCCACAAGAAGACATAGAATAGATTTCGCATTGCAGTCGTCATCATCATCATCATGCCATCAGTATGACTGCCATCGGCGTCCGCATTTTGCTATCATTCGCACACAGCACCTGAACCAGAAGAACCCTAAATCCTGCACTCTAAACCCTACAAGCCATCCGTGGCCATTCTGCTGCAGAGTGAGGCAGCTGCTGCAGCAGCAAAAGCCGCTGCCGCGGCGGCGGAGGCTGCCGGGCTTGGCAGCGAAGTGGCTGCGTGCCTCGGTCCGCGTTGGGACGGTGCTAAATGTGAGGTTCTACAGTCTATAGGGTTTAGGGGTTTCGGGTTTAGGGCCGTTTAGGATTTCTTGATTTGGTGTCAGACTTTCTTGGGTCCTCAGTTTTTGTTGGTTTGAGGTTTAGGGAGTCTAGAGCTGAAGGCTGTGATATCCGTTGTTATCGTCAGACAGACAGGAATACAGGTTCGTTGTGTTCAGCATCAACTTGCAACAAACGTAGAAAGATTCATGGTAAAATCACTTCACAGTGAGCATCATACTGGTCATACAGTAGCAGGAGTCAGCTAAACTGTAGGTCGTATAGCTGCTCAGACACGACACAAATTACAGCTTTAGGGCTAGAGCGTTTGTTGCTATTGGACACAACGGCGCTGACCCCCGCAGGAATGATTTTGTGCTATCGAACCATGAAAAGCAAGTCTCACACACACTACAAAAAGAAGCACTTGTAACAAGCAAACAAGCAAGAGTCAATCCCAAACTCACCCGGTATTACCCTTAAGCCCTAGTCTCAGAGACCCTAAGCCGCCTAAGTACCAACGCAACCCCCTATCAAAAAATAACAGACATGTTAATACACAAAGCCCCAGGTTCCAATGCACTTATATACATGAGAGAAAGCAGGGTTTCTAAAGTAGGAATGATTATTTTAGTACACTTCAGCCCCTAAACCCTTAAAAACCCTGAAAACCCTTGAAGTTGTGGAGCCCAGGGAAGCGTCGGCAGCAGCTGCCGGTCGAGCGGCACAGTCCGCTGCGGCAGCACACGGGGCTTCCGCAGAGGAGGCTCCTCCGCAAGGACTCATATATCATATATTCTCAGGGGCTGAGTATCCTAGCCCGAAAAAGGTTAACCTTTTTAATTGTGGTAGGAGTATATGAACATATATGAACCCCGAAAAGTTAAAGGTTACCTACTCAGCTGCTAAGTATGGGAGTTTCCGAAAATAGGGAACCCTAATCTAGTACCCTACATAGTAGGTCGCTGTTTAGAAGGACCCCAAAGTAAGGTACACCTAGTTTTCCGAAACTCCCATAGAGTATCAGGGTACGACAAGGTTTCTTCAAGGGTTTCTGTCGCATTTTATATGGGCCTATCTGGTTCCCCAGGACCCAACAATTAGGTGCTTGGGTTCCCCAAAGGCTCCATGTACCTTTATAGTAGATACTTAAGCCCCAAAGTAGTCCCTAGGTACTTTAAGGCCTAAGTATGTACTATATGGGTACATGGAGCCTTAGGGTTCAGGGCTTAAGATTTAGAGCAAAGGACCCGATATTTGGACATCTCGGCATAGGATGAGGGTAGTGACCATGTAGAATCGTAGTTTCGGGGAGCATGTGGTCATCAGGCACTTGGACCCTCGGGTAAGGGTCTTTCTTGGCATGTGACTTGTGGGTTCTGCAGAGGGTTGCTTGACATGATGTGCATGGGGGTTTGGATGTCGAGAGCGTGACGGAAGCCTAAACCAATAGCTTCATTTCTGCATCGGGACCTGTGTCATTGAAGCCCAATGATGGTCGTAATCTTCTCATTACATTCCCTACTCCCTAGGCCCTAAACCCTACGTAATCCCTAAACCCCGAATCCCTAGACTCAGACTTATTCCGCATAATGGAACTTCAAAGCTCGGAAGTTAGCAGGTTCACAATTCCGTCCGACGCCCGTCTCTCAAGCTCCTTGGGGTCTTGTAAGCAGGTCTAACACTGAAGTGTGGGTTAAACATTTAATGTAGTGGGAAAGAAACAAACTAAAGCAACCCCAACTACTACAACGCTTGACAGTTGTATCATCAAAGGTTCAGGCTCAGAATAGCATCCTCCCCCGAGGCAGCAGCTGCAGCCGGCGCAGCAGCGGCCGCAGCCGGTGCTGAGGCGACTCATGTTTGGGGCCCCTAAAGAGGCACTCGTCGTAAGTTGTTAAATGACTGTAGTTTGAGGGAATTCAGACAGCCCCAGCTGTAAGTTTCTGATGTTTACGCGATTACGTTGGTTCCTTACAACTTCCAGCAATGGCTGTGGGTTGGAGCATTGGGTGCAGGGTTGAGGGTTTTGAGAGTGCAGAGGAAAGCAGAAGGGGTCTTGGATAAGTTATATAGCGAACCTTACAAGTAGAATAGGGTTTCGGTGTAAAATACAGAAAAAGCTATAAGAAGGAACCTGAAAGAATAATATTGGCAATTCTTCAGGCCCCTGTGGTAAAGGTTCGAGGGTGTAGGGTCCAGGGTGTAGGGCTTGGAGATCTGGGTTGAAGGTGGCTGAGGTTCATTAGACATTTAAAAGGAATATACGGCTGTTGGTGAACAGGTCATGTATCCTGTGAGATCAAGGAAGCAAGAAATCTTGGGCCTAAATAGTTGCCAAGGCTAGTTTGGGGTTCCACATTTGCTTACAATTACAGTGGATACCCACAACCCTATTCCGATTATTAAGCCCACCATGTTAACCAAAGAAAGGAAGTAGAGTTGACGATTTAGGCAGGGCAGACCTAAACCTGGTGTCCTAAGCCCGAACGCCACAACCCTGACCGTTTGAGGAGTCTTCAAAAGGCTAGGTTATTTGGGTCGACTAGGTAAGGCAAGCCCTACCCCCCCCCACATCAGGTCGCTTAAGGCAAGGCACAGGCCGTCTTGAACGGAGCGGTCGGCATTGTTACCAGTACTGTTCCATTCGTTATCGCAACTATAAACCCTAAACCCTAAACCCTAAACCCACCATAAATGACATACCCCGCGCCCCTCCATTCCAGCTATGGAGGCTGATGTCGTACTCAGGACTTCAGAGATGGGAGTTCCTGAAGTTCCAACATATTATACCCCAAGCCCAAAGCCATAGCCCTAAGCCCCAAACCATTTGGGGGTTTCCGAAAATAGGAGACCCTAATATAGTACCCTGAAAATTAGGATCCTTATTATAAGGACCCCCAAAGTAAGGTAGCCCTCATTTTCGGAAACTCCCATATAACTTAGTACTTTAAAGCCCCCCAAGCATGAACGCTCGACTCCTCCACCGGACTTACCCCGTCTTAATGTCGGGACCCTACAGTAGTTAGAATAGATTTTGGGGGCCGCCCCCCAAGACCCTATTCTAGTTTCTAAGGCCTCTACATTTGGGTTAGAGGTTCCTGAAACGAGGCCGGGCTTTCACAGGAAGCTGCTGCCAAGGCGGCTGCGGCAGCAGGTGGGTTTGCCGCTGTTGGTTCTAAACCCTATAAACCCTAAGCCCTAAACCCGAAAACCTAAACCCCAAACCTTAAAGTTAAGAGTGTGGTTTGTGTTCTTTGATTCGGGCGTCGGGTTTAATTAGTATGGTCTAATGAATAATATGCGAGCTCGAAATGGACCCAAAGCCATATCTTCAACGTGTTTGTAGGTTAGTCGTGTGTGGGAAGTGCATGATCTTCAAGTACTTGCACAGGCGGGGATAGGTTTTCAGGTCTGAAAGCTTCCATGCGTGAGTCTTCAGAGCCCTATCGGGTGTGCGACAAAGTCCTAAACCCTTAACCCTAAATCCAGACGGACTCTAAGCTTCGAGCAGCCCTCAGGAGCCGTTGCTGCCTCGGATGTCGCCAAGGCGCAGAGTGTCAGGGCGTGTGGGTTTAGTTTTAGGGTTTGGGGTTTGGGTTTAGGTTTTGAGCGTTGAGGTTTAGGTTTTTCGGCCTCCCTGCTTTCAGCAGAAATCATAAAGTTGTAGCCAGGCTCCCACGGCCTACTGTGGATTTCTCTCCAAGACGGGTGGGCTAAAACCACTGTCGAGAGCCCGCCCCAGGACCCCTTCATGAATAGTCCTTATGTAAACCACCCTATATACTCACATATACTCCTACAATCCCGAAAGCACAGGCACGATTCCACAGTTTCCCTACCCAAGACACAAACCCCCAAATTGGCCGAAACTTCCCTAAACCCCAAACCCTAAAATGTAGGAAAATTGGCCCGACACTCGAAACCACAAGCCTTAAACCCGACCACAGGGGAAGCAGTAGGGTCTAAGGTTCCATTGCGCACGGTACCTAGGATACCTAAGGGATCTATTGTATAGAAAAGTAGATACCTAAAACAGGGTTAGGTTATGAGCCTGCGGGTATGTGGCCTTGGCCACTGCAATTGGGGTACTTGGACCTTCAGGGCAAAGGGTAGAAGACACACGAAAATCCTGTACCCGGAACCCTTTCGCCCCCTAAGCCCTTAATCGTCAAACCCTCATCCCTGAAACCTTCAACTGTAAAGCCTTCCTTGTAGATCCCTTAAGTCAAGGAAACCGCGCTTAGGGTTTAAAGTTTACGGGACCTTTGAGATCCTGCAGGCAGCTGGCGCAGGGGCTGCCGAAGCCGTAACTGCTGCATCCAAAGCAGCCGCTTCCCCGGCCACGAGAGAAAGCACGGTATAGGGTTTAGGGTGTAGGGCTTAGGGTTTAGCGGCGCTCTGGAAGGGTACAGTGGTTCTAGAATGCTTCGGGGTTGATTAAAGGGATTTTCTTCAGGGTTGCCTGAAGGAGTCCACAAGGGATCTGGAAGGGGTCTCTATGGGGGATCTCTTGGGTCTAGGGCAATAGATTTGGGGTTTAGGGTTTCCGGTTGAGGGCTCGGCAGGGTTTCGGGTTGAGGGCTCAGAGAGAGACACGGACAGAGAGAGAGAGAGAGAGAGCGAGAGAGAGCGAGACAGTGAGAGATAGAGAAAGAGAGAGAGAGAGAGAGAGAGAGAGAGAGAGATGGATAAAGACGGGTTCAGGGTTTACATAGGGTTAAACGGGTTTATAAGGTTTAGGGCCTGTATGGTTTAGGCCTTATAGGGCTTATAGGGTTTAGGATTATGGGGTTTATAGGGTTGAGGGTTTCTAGGGTTTAGGGTTTAGGGTTCAGGGTTTCGGTTTCGGGGTTCATCTGTTTTTTGAACCGAAGGCTTCGATTGAACCCTGCCCTAACACACGCAACCCAAGGCCTTAAATCCCAGGGCAAGCAGGTTACGGACCGGGCAGCAGATACGCAGAGACTCCCTAAACGGTAAACCGCAATTCAACGTACATACCCTATAAGCCATTGACTTTATATGCTCTAAATCCCGCATTTAAGTCTTGAGCGCGATACTAGACCCTTTACAGAAACCCTCAACCCTCAAACTCTCAACCCCTAAACCTCTAAACCCTAAACCCTAAACCTAAACCCCTAAACCCTCAACCCTAAACTCGGGTTTTGCTCGGATGACTGAGGCGGAGGATGCAGCCGCGGCAGCAGGCCTTGATGCCGGCGAGGCTTCCAGGGCGTTTGGTTCTCACAAGGGGCCAAAAGGGGTTTGAGGGCTCCTTTTAAAGGGGTCTATAGGGTTACGGAAAGGGATCTAAAAGGGTTTAGTATAGGGGATCTACTCATAGGAGGCCAAAAGGGGTTTTAGCCTATGGGGGTTTAGTAGGGATTAGGGTTCATATTCAGGAATCCCTACCCCAAGAGTCTGAAACCCCCCTTTCTGGCCTCCCATCAGGTTCAGAAGTCTTCGTAAGATCATATGGGTGGTTGTCAAAATTAGGGTCCCTTTTTGGGTCCCTAATTTAGTACGGCACCTAATATTTAGGGTACTCAAAAAGGAGCCCCGATTTTTGAGTTTCGGGTTTAAGGTTTGCGAGTTGGTAAGATCTTATGTTATACCAAGAGCTTCTTGGTCTCATTAGATAAGGGTATCTGGCCCCGAACAGTAGGTATTTAGGGTCTGGGTAGGCTTTTACATGGATGTCGCTTTGTTTTAAGGGTTTGGGGTTTGGGAATGACGGGCTGACGGCTTTGGCGGTGAAGGTTTTGAAAATATTTGGCATGTCTGAGTTGTAGGGCCGTGTTTATCGGGTTTACGGTTGCAGGGGTTGTGCCTGGCTTGAAGTAAGTTTTGGGCTTCGCTAGGCTAGGGCAGTCTGGGAATTGATCAGGCTAATTGTAACTAAGACCGAGGGCATAAGAATCCGAATAGTATGTTTTGGGTCATTTCTGTCTAAGTTTAACTTGATTAGGCTCTGGGGGATGGTTTCTGATTTCTGGGTCGTGCTGACAGAGCACAGACAGATAGATAGATAGGTAGGTAGGGAGAGAAAGATAGAGAGAGAGATATGTGTATATATATATATATATATACATACATACATACATACACACACACACACATACATACATACATACATACATACATACATACATACATACATACATACATACATACATACATACATACATATATAGAGACCCAGGGCAAGAGGTTGCAGGTGCCCAAGCAGTAGGGCTGTAGGTTCTGAAAAGCCATGCAGTCGAGTACTCAGGCCCCAGAGACCTACGGTAGTTAGGTACTTGGACGCTGTAGGACGCCTTTGTGAGATCTTTGTGAGACCGATAGCCTTTGCAGTGCCCTGGCCAGCTAGGTGTCACCCAGACCATCCAAAATCCCTTAATTAAGGAATATACCTTAAACCATATTAGGGATCCTATTATAATTTAAGGTATATTCCTTAATTAAGGGATTTTGGAAGGTTTGGGTTTCTCCCAGATTCGGCACCCAATGCTGCGTATCAGGATGTTCTCAGGAGAGGAGATTGCCAGCGTGCCTGTGGAGCAGTTGGGCAATGTGAGGGCATTGAAACAAGAGCTGACTCGATCGCACGGCATGCCTACCCGATTTCGACAAAGACTCCTCCTTGACGGCAATCTTTTGGATGATTTTGCCCAGTTGGCTTCACCCATCGAGCTGGAGTTGGTTTTGCTTTCGTACTCCATGGCCTCACAGAATGCGGAAGAGTTGGCGATTGCCTCCGAGAACGGCTCTGCGGCAGAGGTTTGTCTTTGCAAAGCATCCCAGTGGACCCAGAACTGTAAATCCTACATCCCAGAACCCTAGACCAGAAACGGCGTAAAATCGTAAGCCTCTCATCTCCGAACTCTTTAAAGCATAATGCCCACATAAACCGACGACCAAAAATGGGAAAACATTCGATCCTCTACTCCCGCACCTAAGCCCCTCATACTGGCAACCAGTCAGCAGGTTGAGGCCATCTTACAGCATCCACAGCATCCGGACATGGTCGATGACAATGGCTCAAGTCCGTTGATGCTGGCCTCTGCAAAAAGCCACAGGGAAGTCGCAAGCTTACTGCTGGAGGCCGGTGCCGACGTGAACTTGGCTGGAAATGACGGCTTGACTGCGCTGATCCTAGCTTCTATTCATGGTCATGTGGAAGTCGCGAACTTGCTACTGGACGCTGGCGCCGACATTAATGCAGCCACCACGGACGGCTTGACTGCGCTGATGCTGTCTTCTGGCGAAGGCCAGGTCGAAGTCGTTCGCCTGCTGCTGGAGAGCGGCGCCGACCAGAACTCAGTTACGCCGGACGGCTCCACTGCTCTGATGCTGGCTGCTTTTGAACCAGGCCACGTGGAAGTCGTTCGTTTGCTGCTAGAGGCCGGTTCCGCGAAGAACTCTGCCGACGACCTTGGCTACACTGCTTTGATGCGAGCTTCTCAGCACGGCCATGTAGAAGTGCTGCGATTGCTACTGAAGGCTGGTGTCGATGTGAACCCCGCCGACATTGATGGTAATACTGCTCTCATGCTGGCTGTTGAAGTGGACGTCGTTCGTTTGTTGCTGGAGGGCGGTGCTGACGAGAGCTTAACCAACCGAGACGGTGCCACTGCCCTGATGCTAGCTGATCAAGAAGGCGACGCAGAACTCGCACGTGTGCTGCGGGAGGCCGGTGCTGACACGAAGTCCGGCAGGAAACGGCGTCTCTGCTTCTGTGATGGCGTTAGTAAGAAGCCACGCTGAAGGCTAATGTGTGCGGACGGCCGAGCCCGGCGCCAAATACGAGGACTGGACGTTGGCAAGCTAATTGCGCGTGCAGCAGAGGACGTGGGAAAAGGCCAATAAACTCGATGTTGGCGATCGGCTTGACTGTGCAGCCTACCCATCGAAATCAGCACGTCCTCCCAGCGCCAAGACCTTTCCATTGATATAAAAGCCTGAATAATTGCTGAAATTGCTATTCTTAAGTACCATAAGGGTCCATGTACCAAATAGTACATACTCTGGCCCCAATGTACCTTTTCTGGGGACTACTTTATGGCCAACACATCTAGTATGTGGGTACATGGACCCTTAGGGGTAAAGCCGCTATTCTTGGGCCCGGCAGGCAGTACCCGTGTGTTGATGGCTCCACTTCCCCTCTGAATCCACAAGTGAAGGGATACCTTTTATTTGCAACGTATAAGGCCCGGCAAAGCTTAACAGTTCCTGTGTCTTTGAATTGATACCAGCAGAAGCAACATAGGAGAGATAGGCATAGGAGCTACCTTGAACTGCAAACACTCGACATTAATTACTTGCAGGGGTCCTGTATTTTCCATATTCATAATATGAGGCTTTATAATCAGTAAGGACCTACAGAATGCAGGAGATTGTGGTTTCAGGTATAGTGCACAGAAGCGTGCCTACGTGCGTGCGTGTGTACCGTTTCGAGTGTAGGGTTTCGGGATGCTTCGAGGTCTAGGGGGTAAGGCTTCACGTTTCGAGTCTACCTAAACCTACCCAGAGGCTCCATAGTAGTTCCTTTTTGGGATTAGCTTATAGGATTCTATATATGAACCCCAAAAAGGAATACTTTGGAGCCTTAGGGTAGTTCCCTTAATCCGACATCCTACACCCTATAGAACCCTAATCCTACTGCAAGACCTCAACCGCAAGCCCTAAACCTCTGAATAAATCCTAAACGTGTAACTCTGTCTACTTCAGAGTGTAGGGTTCTTTAATAGACCCAAGACCCTCTCAGTTTACTAAGGAGGGCACCAAAGCGCGCAAGACAGCGCACATGGGCCCCTAAACCCTAAATCCTAAACCCTAAACCCTGCAAAACAGATCCCAAGACCTCAGTCCTTGAGGTTCAGGTTCTCGGGGGGGGGTGTAGGCGTTTAGGATGGGTTTAGGGTTTAGGGTTTAGCATTTAGTTTACCGTAACCTACCAAACCCTACAGTTCTGTAGGTTCACCCCGATAATGGAGTTTACAGGGACCCTGCCAAAAAATAGGTTTTGGTATTTTAAAGTAGGGTAACGTAGGGGGTTCAAGGGTTGAGGACTCGGGGGCTTTGAGTGTAGGTGTTTAATGGTTTCGAGTTTCGAAGTTGGTGGGGTCTTGCGAACGGATCACAAGTCACGAGCTGGGCACAATACGGCATATTCTTTTTTACGGGTAATGCAGGATTTAAATCATCAACCGTATATACCTCAAGCCGTGACCCTCAACCCTGAAGACTATAGACTGCTGAAGTCCTCAACTTCATGGGCACCAGCCCCCACCTGACACGGCTTTGGGATTCCGAGTCTTGAAATGGGAGCTTCCGAAAATTACGGGGTACGTACCTTCCTTATTTGAGTCCTTGTAACAAGGATCCTACTATTTAGGGTACTATATTAGGGTCCCCTATGTTGGGAAACTCCCAAATGACACTTTCGACAAGGGCGGCTCTCTTGCTGCATGTCGGGTTGCATGCAAGTCGCTTGTTCGTTGCAGCACTGTCGATTGTTTATCATTTCGCCAAGCATAAACCTTATGGTCCGTGTAGTCCCCCTTTGCATTTCCTAAGCCAACCCTATAAACCTTAAGAACTCCCGTTTATCAGCATAAACCTTATGGTCCGTGTAGCCCCCCTTTGCATGTCCTAAGCCCCTAAGCGTGAGCTCCCGAACCCGAAACAAACGCCCACAATAGAGAACCTTCAACCCCGAATGCTGGACTCTACATCCCTGTCCTGAGATCCCCGAACTCCGAAAGCCTACTAGACAAAAGCCTGAACCATCCTAATTTAGCCCCATATCTTAAGCCCTCAGCGATGCACTCTGTCTGTTGACTCCTAGAAACTCTCGCGAAGCCCCAATTCTAACATCAAAAAAGATCTCTGGCAGAGCAACAACCGCAATCCCCCAAACCCTACCTTAACTCTGAAGAACCTACTGTTTTAAGGACTTGTATAAGGAAATCATAATAAGGAACCCTAAAAAGGTAGGTTCTTCAGGGTTAAGGTAGACCCTAAACCCCTAAACCCTAAACCGTGGTCCGCCTCCTCTTCACCAAGAAGGCTGCCAAGCTGGGACTTGAAGCAGCCGGCGACGTCAAGGAGGACGCTTGTCGCCTGTGTGAGGGCAGTTCTTTTAAGGCGGTTCAGGGTTCTAGAGGGGTTCCTTTGAAGGGATCCAAAAGGGTTCTATAAGGGATCTACAGGGTCTCTATATAGGGGTCTACGATTTTAGGGCGTTTCAGGGTTTTGGGGGTCTCTTGCTGGCGAGTTTGGGACTGGCCCTGAGGGGACTCTCCAAAGTACCTAGACCCAGACTCCGGGAGGATCCAAAAAGTAGATCCCTTAATGGGGGTTCCTATAAAGTACCCTTAGTAGTATATAGGGCCCCCAAATTTAGGGCATCTACTTTCTAGATCCTCCCGGGGGTCTGGGTATAGGGACTACTTTAAGGCCAAAGTACATATACTAAATGGATACATGGACCCTTACGGTGGTGCATGCTTACTGTGGCTGTTTTTGTAATTCTAGATATTGTTTTAACTGCGCTCTGCTGGGGGTACCCAGAGACTCCAATATCCCTTAATTAAGGAATATTCCTTAAATTAAAGTAGGATCCCTAATATGATTTAAGGAATATTCCCTAATTAAGGGATAGTGGAGTCTCTGGGTATGGTGTCGGATAAAGGGCTGTGGGTTTACGGCGAAACGAGGAGGGTAGCAGTCACCAGCTGTTTTTCGAGAAGGCAGATGGGAGTTTCCGAAAAGTAGGGGTACCCTATTTTGGTGTCCATATAATAAGGGTCCTACTATTTAGGGTACTATTTTAGGGTCCCCTATTTCCGGAAACTCCCAGATTTCAGAAAAGGAAGCACCCCAGCATACAGTAGAAGCCAGAAAGTTGGAACATGGATTTAGGAGGATTTGTGCTAGGATCCCGTATACTTTACTTTAGGGGCATGAGGATACTAATGTTCCAACTTTCTGGCTTCTACCATAGAGCCCTACAAGCCCGAGCATCGCAAGAACGACCTCTACCAATCGTGTAATCACTCCTTATGAAAGAAATCCAAACCGTAAACCCTAAACCCCCAACCTAGTACAGGGGCCTTAATGATTACCAAAACAACTTTTGGGGGTTCCTTGTTATAGTTGTAGTATACTACCCCCCAACACCCTGTTCCAATTATCAAGGCCTTAAAACAAACCGTAAATCGAAATCAGGAACACCTTAAAGAGTATACGACCCTCAACCTCACACTTGCCTCACCCCTAAACCCTACATCTTCGGCTCTACTACGCCAAGCCCTACCTGGAGATCCCCAAACCTACCGGTTTAAACGCTCTACCCTCCAATCAAGGGATAAGGGATCATAACCTACTATTTTGTGCGGTTTAGGGTCACAGGTATAAATCCTGGAAACTTACACCCTGAACCCTTATCCCTATCCCTAAACCCTACCTGGAACCTAAATAACCTACCTTTTCAAGGACGCATACAAGGAAGTCATATTCAGAAACCTAGGGTTCAGGTCTACTCCCTCACCCCTGAACCCTGAACCCCCGAACTGCGAGGTACTAAAGCCTTTCCTTTTCATCGCAGCTCCAAACCCCACACTTTCAAGAATATGGCGCTTGGGTGTGGCTTAGGCCTGATCTAGCACTCGGTTATAAAAGCTATATGTATACACACACAAACACATATGATTATCAACCTAAGCCCTCATTCAAGCATAAACGCCGCGGGTGCCGCGAAGGAGGTCACTCCCGGTGAACGCGCCGCCGCCGAAGCATCCAAAGCAGCCCTCAAAGCCGTGCCCGGACAATGGAATGGCTTAGGATTTAGGGGTTTAGGGGTTAGGGTTTAGGGTTTAGTTTAGGGTTTAATTAAGGTTTATGATGGCTTTAAGTTGTTGTAAGCCTTGTTACGGCTTTCTGAGGCAGGGTTTATATTCAGGGTGTCCGAAATGAAGGGGCTCCGTACCGGATGGCAGTCTTTCTTTCCCTAGTCTTGGTTAGAATGTATTTCCACATTCGCACCGGATTGTTGCATGTTTCGGGTCGGTAGAAATTGGGTTCAAGAGCCCTCGACCGCATACACCCTAAACCTTAAGCAAATTTGGTTTAAGCACCAAGTTCATCTTGCTTTGCACAGACAAAAAACACAGACAGACTGATGCATGGCCTGGTCTCTTGCTAAGCTTATCGAAACATTACGCAAGTTATCATTACCCTAAGGGTCCATGTGCCCAAACAGTATATACTTTGGCCCTGAAGTACCTTTGCGGCCAAAGTATATACCCTAAACCCTAAACCCTATACTATTTGGGCACATGGACCCTTCAGTAACCGAGGTGTCGAACCACTGGGAGATGAGTCTCTCGCACCCAAAGTCCCTCCATCGGTTTAGGGTTTCCCTATAGTCTCCATTGTAGTTCCTGTTTGGGGTTACCTTTCAGGATCCCTAATATAGGATTTGTTAAACCAAAAAAAGGAACTACAATGGAGACCAAAGGTAGGGTCCAGGCAACAGACGAATCCTACCCCAAAAGCCGTATATAAGACCCAAACCCCTCATTAAGCCTCTGAAGGTCGGGACTCTCACCCAGAGGGTCCAAGTAGCCAAATAGTAGGGCAGTAGGGTTTTGGATCCCAAAATCTATACCCTGAATGGTTTTTGGATCTTGGAACCCTACTATTTGGGTACTTGGACCCTTAAAAACCCTAAACCCTAAACCCTATAAACCCTAAACCCTAAACCCTTAAGCCTTAGGGTCATTAAAACTCTGAAGGTCGGGGTTCTGCAGCTGCTCAGCAGTTGCGGGCTTGCTAAATCCAATATGGGTGGTTGTCAATATTAGGGTCTCTTTTTGGGTCCCTAATATAATACGGCACCTACTATTTTGTGTACCCAAAAGGGCTAATTTTGACAACTACACATATAGAACCCATCGTGTTACGATGATGTTGCGCCCTTTTTTCGGACCCCTCTAGTCGATGAGCCGTAGCTATGGCGCGCAACGCCGGCAGGTTCGGGGTTTTGCGATTAGGGTTGAGGGCTATGGAGCACGGTTTATGGTTTAGGGTTATGGATCTCGCAGATGTACAGTCTGATGTTGAAGCTCAGGCTAGCATAGGGAAATTAGGCGTCGTACGTGGGATTTAAGAGTTCAGGGTAGAGGATCCTTTGGGATTTAGGGTTGTTTAGGGTTTCAGATGTAGGGATACCTAGACCGATAGTTTATGGTTGCAGGGGTGAAGACTCTTCCGGTTGGAGGCATATTTTGTTCATGGGTTCGTACGACTTCTGAAATGTTAAGAATTGATCTGGTCAGCGGACAAGCAAGAACAGAGCTGTTTCCTAGTAGTAGAGTAGGTAACCTTTAACCTTTCTTGGGGGTTTTATAGTCCCTATATAACCCCTATATAACCAGAAAGGTTAACCTTTAGTTCCCCATGATACCCGACAAGTAGGCCTATACGCCATCATGCCATGACACCACGTATGTGAAACCAAGGCCACCGAGAGCGGGGTCAGCAAGGATCGTGCCCAGGTCCGATGTCAAAGGGAATACCCTGAATTGTTTTCAAACCCTACACCCTAAACCCTTAACCCTACAGGGTTTAAAATTCGTGCCAGGTTGAGCGGAGGTTGAGTGGTCAGCTCTTAAAACTCTGCGATACCAAAGAGGGAGCCCGTTTCTATTTCTGGGTTACTGGGGATCCTCTATAGGGTTTGGGTATAAGGGTCCATGTGCCCAATAGAGGTTCCTTTAAGGGTACCATGCGGGTTCCTTCAAGGGATCCATAAGGGATCTATAAAGGTTCAAGGTATAAGGGTCCATGTACGAACATAGACTTTGGCCCTGATGTAGTCCCTGTTTTGGTACTTAAGTGCCAAAGTATATATGGGTACATGGACCTTAAAGGTAGCACGTGGATCATACGGGTAGTTCCAGGGAAGGGGTTACGTACATTCTGGGGCCCTTAACTATCTTGTTGAGCTGTTGGCCGGAGTCTCGCGGCCTTCGACAGCATATCCTTTAGCTTTAGATTCAAAACACTTGAAGAGAGTTTTCTATATCACCCCTATGAGTTCCTTCTGACAATACGACATATAATCCGCAAACCCTGCTCTAATTATTGAGGCCCTCAGAAGCCCCTCATGTTCAAGTCAGGTGAGAAAACGCAAAACCCGAAAGTTGCAGCGCTGCAGGTGAATGATACATTGTTTGTGGCAAAAAAGCGAACTTATGATCCCTAAACTTTACTAAAAGCCTTTTAAAATCCCAAATTTTAAACTAAACCTAAACCTATCTTTAACAAGAGCTAAACCCTAAACCCATGCAGCCTAAACCCTAAACCAAACTCTATAAACAGAGTTTGAGAAGCCCTAAAACAGGAAGTCAAAAGCTAAATCCTTAACTCCCCAACCTTATAAACCCTATATCCTTAAACCCTATAGACTTTAATTTATATCCTTAAACCCTATAAGCCCTAAACCCTAAACACTAAATCCCTAAACCCTACATCCATAAACCCTATAAGACCTAAACCGTAGCTGAAGCCCCAATCGAAAGCCGGATCCCTTAAAGGAGCCCTGTTATAAAACCCCATAGTACCCTTTAAAGGAACCCTTGAGGTCCTGGCTGCCGAGGCCGCCGCCAACGCGGCGGCCACGGCCGAGGCTGCAGCCGGCGCGACGCCGGCGACTGGAGCAACAAGTGATTACCCTAAGGCCCCAAAGTAGTTCCTTTTGGGGGCTCATATTAAGAATCCTATAATAAGGTAATCCCAAAAAGGAACTACTCTGGGGCGTATGGGTAATACGGCTGTAGGGGCTTTTAGGGGCTACTGTAAGGGTTTAGGGATTACTACTGTTGATGATAGAAATCCTGCATTACCTTAAGGACCCTAAACTATGGGAATTATGGTATATTCCTTATTATGAGTCGCGCAGGATTTCTATCATCAACAGTACGGCTGTAGGGGCTTCTAGGGATTACTATAAGGTTTAAGTGATTAGTATAGGACTTATAGGTAGTTTAGGGTTTATGATTAGTTTAGGGTTACTGTAATTATAGGGGGTTACTATGAGGGTTTAGGAATTAGGGGTTTAGGTTATCATAGGGGTGAAGAGGGGTTACTATGCGGTTCACTTAAGGTCTTAGGGGTTTTTAGGGACTACTATAAGGCGGGTTTTGGATTAATATTGCTGTAAGGGTTTCTAGGGATTACTTTCAGGGTTTCGGGATTAGTATAGGGCTTTTTGTATAGGGTTTATAGGGGCTACTGTACTTAGAAGGGGTGTTTAGGTGTTACTATGAGGGTTTAGACTTTAGGGGATAGTATGAGGGTAGCCGTTACCCATATGCCAATTAGTAGTTCCTTTATGGGATTACCTTGAAGGGTTCTACATATGAAAAGGAACTGCTGTGGGGCCTATGGGTAGTAGGGTTTTGCAGGTTACTTTTCAGGGTTTATAGGGGTTGCTACAAGGCTTTACAGGAGTTACTATATAAGGGTTACTATAAGGGTTTATAAGGGTTACTATAAGTAAAGGTTTCTGGAGGTACTATAAGGGTTTTTAGGGCTTACTCTAAGGGTTTAGCGATTAGAGTTCGAGGGGTTTCGCGTTTGAGGTTTAGGGCTTTGGGGTTCTAGGGTGTCAGGTTCAAGGGTTTCGGGATTTCGCACGTTTGAGGCAGGGTTACCTACCGTTAGTTGTACTGTCTGGGCTGCAGGGCTTAACTGCGTACCTGATCAGAGGGGCAAGCCTTCTGCAGAACTGCAGGAGCGTATACTATAGGAGCCTGAACACTTACCAATACTGTCTTGGGGGTGCCTGATTATAATTATCGGATAAGGGGCCGCAAAGCCCTACTCTAATTATTAAGGCCCTTATATTACGAGGTCACGCTTGTGGCTGTGGCAGATGAAAAGGATGTCCACGACGGATGCGGAAATGATCTCGGGTTCGGAGCGCAGAAGCCACTAGTGATATAGCCTGCGGGCTTACGCCAGACCTTCGCGAACCCAGCGCGCAGACGCGGTGGATGCATACGGAGATACTCTTCGTGGACGGTGGGACTTAGGATATGGACAGCGGTGCCTTGAGGACGGTCCTCACGCGAGGAACCTGGAGCATCGAGTCTGTCGGATTATTTGGGGAAGATCCTGCGCCATTCAACCCTAAACCGGTTTAGGGTTCAGGTTTTGCGATAGAGCCACTATAAATACAGGGTTTGCGGTGTAGATTGAAGCCTTGCCATCTAAAGACTTTACAAGCTCAGCCCTTAACCCCGAACACTACCCCAAGCACCCAGTGACCACATACTCCCCGACATACCTTTCTACATCCACTATCCTAAATCCAGGTGGCTGTGTTTCATTAAACTTGCTTTAAGCAGATGGCCCAGATCTCTGAAACCCTCTATGGCGAAGCACCTAATGATTGGATCCGCTTTACCCTTAACTACACAGAGTTACCCAAGACTCCATGCCAAGGATCAGGTGGCGGAAGCGGCCGGCCGCGCCGCCCAGAAGACGGCGCTAGCAGAACCTCAGCCGAGCGGAACATGGGGTTTAGGGTTCAGGAACAAGTTGTAAGAGCAGCTGCATGTTTAAAAGCGCCTGGGGCCTACTGTAGTGGCCTGAATAAATAGAAACAAATTTCCTTAAAGTTTCTTGATCTATTGATAAAGGCAGTATACCGCAAAAGCGGGTTCTTAGGTTTTCAACCCTAAACTCTCCTAACAATAACCCCCTCTGTATATTTAGAGCCCTTTGTCTCAAGGAATCTTTGAGGCCTTCTTAATGAGAATACCGAGGCTGGGATGGGTGCAGAGAAAGCCGCGTGGCAGGCTGCTGAGGCCCCCGCTTGGGTTCTAGGGTTATTAGGGTTGAACCCTATGCCTCCAGGGCTATTATTATGGGGTCCTTAAGGGGTCTAGGGCCCTAACCATGAGGTCCTTGGAGGGATAGGGTGAAGGTTTATATAGGTGGTTGTCAAAATTACGTTCCCTTTTTGGGTCCTTCATATCATACGGCACCTTATATGTAGGGTACCCAAAGAGGGACCTAATTTTGACAACTACCCATATAGGGTTGAGGGTTTAACGTTCAGGGTTGAGTGTTGTTATTTGGGGTTTCAGAGTTTAGGAGCTCTTTGTTGGGGTTTAGCGCTCTAAGCTTTTGTTGGGTTCTCAGCGTTAGGGTGGTTTAGCGTTCAGGGTTGAGTGTTACTTGGGGTTCAGAGAGTTTGGGGTTTAGCGCCTAGGACCCACAGTAAGCCCTTATTCCCTTTTTGTAGGGCTCAGGTTCCCTTATAAGCCCTCTAAACCAAAAAGGGCATCCTTTTTATTCCTAGGTTACTCTTGGGTCTAGTAATACCTTACCCTAAGGCTCCATGTGCCCATATAGTATATACTTAGGCCTTAAAGTACCTATATAGGGACTACTTTGGGGCTTCTAAAGTTTGGGGTTTAGCGCTCTAAGGCTTCATTGGGTTTATCGGGCTGAGGGCTCCTAGCGCTTTCAGGTTTATGGGGCTTCTCGGCTTCATAGGGCTTATCGGAGTATCGGGCTTGTATGGCTTACCGTAACCCCAAGTAACCTACCTTTGTAAGGACTTATATATATATATATATATATATATATATATATAGAGAGAGAGAGAGAGAGAGAGAGAGAGAGAGATCAGATTAGGGATCCCTAAAAAGGCAGGAGTTTTTTAGGGTCCAGGTAGACGGTGGATGGATCTTCTAGGGTTAATGGTATAAATCCTGCATCGTCCATAACAAGGAATATACCGTATAGGGTCCTTACCCTAAGGCTCCATAGTAGTTCTCCTTTTTGGGGTTCATATATAGAGTCCTACAAGGTAATCCCCAGAAAGGAACTACTATGGGGCCTTAGGGTAAGGTAATGCAGGATTTCTATCATCAACCGTAGGGTTCAGGACTTAGGTTTCTCGGCTTAAAGTCTTCTGACGCAGGATTTATACGTGGCATGTTGAGATCTTTGAAGAGGAAATGTACGCACCCTGACCACTACTTAGGCATCTATATTCAGGATGGGTGGTTTCGGGTGTTCTTGAGGAGTCTTTCTTTGAGAGTGTTTCTGAAACCTGGAGTTTCGCAGCTTTAATCTTATACAGACAGCAAACATACAATAGGTACGTACATACGCACAAGCTGTCTCATGTTTACTAAGTATACAATGACGGAGAAAGACCTTCAGATAGACATCAGCTGAACAGACATAGATTAGATGTTGTTGTGCATGCTGGTGTGGACCTGGGTGTGGATGCCAACGTACATGGCTGCAGACAAATCGCTGCTGGACGAAATCTTGCATTGCCAAGACTATGTAAAAATAATTACAGTCTCCACTGCAGTTCCTTTATTGTTGGGTTGCCGTATCGGGTCCTACAGTTACGTTCGGTTAAACCAAAAGAAGTAACCGCAGTGGAGACTGTAGGAAAACTTTAGGTCCCCTATTGATGCAGCAGGTTTGGGGAGTTTAGGGTTGGTTGGTTCGTTGGTTTAGTGTGCAGGGTTTAGGCTTGGTTTATCAGATGACCCTATGCATTGGCCTTGACGTATCAGTATTCCCTATACATTCGCAGGTAGTTTACGGCCCAAGTATATAGTATCTCGGTACATGGACCCTTAGGACGACATCAGCCCTCTATAAGCCGTACAACAAGCAGCATTGCGAACACCCCGAAAACCTCGTAGCAATCATTCATGGTAGCTAAGAGGGCGTCGTGAGAGCAAACAAAGGCATCGAGGCATCTCTATACAGTAGAGGCCAGAAAGTTGGAATATCATTATCGTAACCCCTGTAAGGTAAATTATAGGAAATCCTACCATTAAACCATATTCCAACTTTCTGAAGTTCCCTATATTACAGACAGTCGAAACCCTAGGCTTCCAAAGCTTGGAAGCTGGAACCTACTTCTCGCAGAATACAGACAATTCCCCGGCCTCCCCCAAGAATGAGGCCACCCTGAACCCTAAACACTAAACCCTAAACCCCTAAACCCCTAAACTGTTCGGACATGGAAGTGCAGTAAGCCATCGATGTATGATGGCTCTGCTTTTCAGTGTAGGCCCCATCTGAGGCAGGCTTTATCCTGCAGCATCGTTCGCGAAGCACAGAAAGAAGCCATTGCACTTAAAAGAAAAAAGCCTAAACCCTAAACACAAAACCCTGGGCCCCCCCTTTCTGAGGCCGCCGGACAGGCTGCAGCTGCTGCTGCCGAGGGCCCCAAAGCTGAGGCTGCAAGGGAGGCGGCCGGGGCCTCACTTCCCTCAACTGTCTGGTGCTTAGTAGGGAATGGGGGAATGGGTTCTAGGCTTTAGGGATGTTTGGGGATTACTATAAAGGACCTTGGGGGGACTTCTGTAAGGGACCTTAGGCGACCACTATAGCGGACCTTGAGGGATTATCATAGGGATCCATTCCCCCATTCTCTACATGTACTAAGCACCAGACGGTCAAAGCGCCGCAAGGGTAAGTTTCAGGGTCTCGGGTTGAAGTTTTAGGGCTTCTGGTTGTTCAAGCAGGGTTAGGGCGTAAGGGCTTCGGGTTTGAGGTTTTTCGTAGGGTTAGGGTTCCGGCTTTCGGGCAGGGATGGGATCGAGGAAGGTGGGGAAATCCCTGGTGAGGAGCCTTAGGTAAGGGATCTTGAGGTTTACCTAGGTTCGTCGCACCCTTTGATTTGAGGCCTCCGATAAGGGGGTTAGGGGCGTAGGGAGTAGGGCATTACGCTGTAAGATCTTTGTTCTGAATTCCGGAAACCGAACGTGGTTCAGCACGACCAGTGCTGGAAAATCCATAGATCTCACTGCAAAGCCTTGTTCCAATGTTGAAGCAGTTACTTTTTAGGCAGAGTGGCACCATGGGGGGGGGCGCCACTTGTCAGTCTAGTGTAAGATTCAAAACTCCGAGCTCCTCTACCAATAGCATCCAGCCCACGGCAGTTTCCCGGTGCTGTCCCTCAAACTCTAACCTCATGGTTGTAAAACCCCACAAACCCGTCATAAAAATTCTGAAGCTAGATCCTTATAGACCAAAACCCGGAACCCAGAAATCCTACACCCTCTACCTCCCTAAACCCTAAAACCCAACAGCCCTTCGCCCCGTATACCCTAAGCCCTCAAACCCCAAAACATGAAAACCACACCCGAAGCTGCGCTGAGGCGATGAAGGCAGCCTCTGCTGCCGGGCTCGGGCCTACAGAAGTTACCGAGGCCTGGAAAGCAAGAGAGTCCGTTAAGTTAATTAATGTTTAGGGTCCAGGGCTCATAGGGTGTAGGGCTGAGGATTTAGGGGTTTTAGGGTTTAAGACTGAGGGTTTAGGGTCCAGGGTTTAGAGGGTTTAGGGCTGAAGGTTTAGGGTTAAGGGTCCTTAAAGTGCTGAGTCTGGGTTTAGGATGTTGCGGTTCAGAGTTTAGAATTTATGTAGGTCTCAGGCTTCAGGGTTGACGGTCGAGGGGTTGCTAGGATTTCGGGTTTATTACTTATAGGTGTTCAGGGCAAAGGTTTCAGCGTTTAAGACATGCAATGTAGGGCTTAGGGTTTGGGGGATGGAGATGGGCTCAGGGTTTAGAGATTAGGGTGTTGAAGGGTTTAGGGCCTGAGGGTTCTTAGGTTGGTTTTTTCGACCCGCTTGCCAAGAGAGTAGCTGTTCGTGCATCTAGCACATCGGACAAGTAGAGATTGCGCCCTGGGTTCTGGAAGTTGTGCACTTTAGGTGTTCAACTCCTAAATCAGAAACACCGACATCCTAAAGCACCTTAAACCCTAGACATCCCTACGCCTTTCAGATCGAGACTGTTCTGGAGCAACCTAAGCTCACAAGAACCTACATCTTAAACGATCATGGAATGAACTGTCACAGGCTGGACGCATCGCTTTCGAGGCGACTCAGAAGGAAGTGGACCAGCAGCAAATGGAGGCCAGAGGGATTAACTACCCAGAGGCCCCAAAGTAGTTCCTTTTGGAGATTACCTTATGGGATTCTATATATGAACCCCAAAAAGGAACTACCAGGGAGCCTTAGGGTGTACAAGCTGAGAAGCTTTAATTGTGCAGCGGCTTTTTTGGGGGGTGATTAGGTGTTCCAACAAGATCGGAAGTTCTAAGGAACTGCTATTGTGGTTTGTGTAAGTACGTAGCATTTTCTGCAATAACTAGAACTGTAACATTTGGGGGGGCACGGGCGTCATCCAGGCTACAGTGTTCCGGGATCTGGGGATCTGGGTCTAGGAAACGATGTTTTGGTTGCAGGATTCGAATGAATTTCCGAAGTGTTTGCCGCAGGTCAATAGCCAGGTTACCTAAAACCTAAACCTTATAAGCCATAAAGCCCAAACCCTAAAACCCTAAAGGCCCGAAGCCAGTCTGGGTAGACAATCGCTGTAAGTGCAGCAGGTGACCAGTTTACAGCAACACCCAAAACCAGGATCCAACCAATACATAGATATCAGCAAACCATTAGGGCGAACCTTCCCAAACCCTCAAATCCTACCCTAAACCTTAAGCCGTTCGCCGTTGGAAAGTCTGGCTCTGCCTTCCTGAGGTGGCAAGCGCTGCAGCACGCACGGCTTCTTGGCGTTGCGGGTCGCAGTCGCGATCAATAGATGTGGTGTCTCTAGTAGGGTTTACGACGGAGACTGGGGGATGTCAGGGAACAGGGCTCAGAGCAGTCCTAAACCCTAAATCCTAAACGGAGTATATAATTAATTAGTAATCCAGATCTCTGAGTAGTGCCCTTTTTTCCTTTTTTGGCACCCTGGAGATGATAGGGAAAAGGGTACCCTTGCTATTAAGGGGCATTGGGGAACCTAGCCATGGTCCTCCGAAGGGCTCCCTCTTATCAACGGTTTAGGGTTTAGAGTTTAGGGTTTAGAGATAAGGGTTTAGAGTTTAGGGTTTAGAGTTTAGGGTTTAGGGGTAAACCTGGTATAACATAACCCGGAACCTTGTTCTAATTACCAGAGAAGCCCAGTATTCGGGGCCCTTGTACGAGTGAAAGCCTCTCCTTGGAAATTTTCCCCAAAAGGGAGACAGGATACATACGGCTGATGGACAAAATCCTGCATGACATGACCCATTGTAAGGAATATACCATAGTTCCCATAGTTTAGAGTCCTTAGGGTCATGCAGGATTTTGTCCATCAGCAGTATCACGAGCCCTACGAAGAACTTGATAGGATTCTTCGACATCCTGGGTCAAATTAAACGACATAGTAGGGCTCAAGGCCCCAAATACTGAGACTCGGAATGGTTTTGGGCTGCTTACTCTTTTGGTACTTGCCCCGGAGTGCTTCATGTGGGTAGTTCTCAAATTAAGCCCCCTTTTAAGTCGCGACAGTAGTAGTACGGCACCCTTATACAGAGGACCACCTACAAGGACCGTAATTGGGAGAACTTGAATCCCATTATTGTGGGCTTCCTTGCCAAGGCGTCAGGGGACCGTACTTCCTTCAAGATACTGGGTTTAGGGATTAGGGTTTAGGGTTTATACTAGTTCAGGAGTTCCTTATTGTAATTATAGTATAGCATATCCCAGAACAGTACTAAGGCCCTGATGTGAGGCCTTGTTAGACCTTGCCAGGTCCTCATTGGGGTCCTTACGCCTGATAATGATAATGTCACGCTCTGCTCACTTGGCAGCTTCGTATTTCATCTTGTTGGACTCCTCCCAGTGGAGGAGTCTTGCCAAAAGCTCTGCGGGGAGAAGGGGGCAACATGAAGAGCCGTAGACGTGATAAGTCAGCCCCTCACTGTGTCTCGTTCAATGTTTGATCTTTTGGAAAAAGAGGGGACCCTAATATAGTACCCTGAATAGTAGTTAAGATCCTTACTATAATCACGTACCCCTTAGAGTTCTGCAACATGCGATCGCGGACTTCGTCAGAGCTTCCTATAGGTCTCACGGGCCTAGCCATCCTGCATCGGTTGACCGCTGCCCAAGCGAACGGCCTGTGCACCCAAGAGATTGTAACGAAGCCGTGCCACGTGTTTTGCGGATTTTGTTGGGTGAAAGCGGTGAAGATGGAAAAGCTTTCACAATCGGCTGTCGAAGAGCGACTTCCCGGCTGGGGCAGCCACAGCCCTGACAAGTGCTGGCATCGTTCAATGGTTCAAGACTGGGAAAAGAAAAACTACCTTAACCTACCGAAACCTACAAAAAAGTAGGGTCCCTATAAATTCCATATTAGGGTTTATACTAAGAACCTACAAAAAGGTAGGGTTTGGTAGGTTAAGGTAGGGTTGACGAGGATGTTCCCGTTGCGGCAATCGCCAGGGCTTCGCCCCGACTTGTGATGCCTGGGATCACGAAGTTGCCCCTTTCCGCTATGTCGACGACGCTTTTGGGGCTACCTAGAGGCTCCATAGTAGTTCCTTTTTGGGATTACCTTATAGGATTCTATATACGAGCCCCAAAAAGGAACTGCTTTGGAGCTTTTGGGGCTAGCTCCATTTATTGCTGGTCCTGCATGGCCACTGCGGTCCGTTGCTCATCCAGGGCCGCCTTTGATCATAGGATGCCAAAAGGGGTTTTAGCCTATGGGGTTTAGTAGGGATTGGGGTTCCCATAATAGGGTTCATGTTAAGGAATCCCCACCCCAAGAATCTTAAACCCCCCTTTTGGCCTCCCATCATTTGAGATTTGAGATTCTAGGATGCCCAGTAGTACCCTTATTCCCTTTTTGTAGTCCTAGGTTCCTTATAAAGTTACCCAATACCAAGAAGAGAGGCCTTTTTTATTCTTAGGTTACTGGGTATTCGAGGAGATTGAGCCTGAGTTCTCCAAGGTATCGTTTCCTAGGACCCAGAGTAGGCCCGTATTCCCTTTTTTGGGGTTTAGGTTACCTCATCACCCCTTTTTAACCAAAAAGGGCACCCTTCTTATTCCGATGTTACTCTTAGGTCGAGTTTCTTGATGTGGGTTTAGGGTTTAGGGTTTGCTTCCTTGAGAATGCAAGGTGCCTGCAAGTTTGAAGCTATGGATTTTTGACTTTGGGTCTACAAGGGGAGTTGGAAACACTAAACCACTAAATCTTGAACCCTAAGCACCCACACCCTAAACACTAAACTTCAGACCCTAAGCAATTAGCTAAGCCACAGAACCCCTTAAGCCCTGAAAGAGCCTTAAACCACTATATAAGCCTGAAAAGGACAGGAAAACACGTACAATGGCATCAGGGACCCCTCCGTGAAGCCCTTCGTTCGATTTACGTAAACTTAAACCCCAATGATAGCACCCTGCTTCGGAGCCGTATAGGGCTTATATATCCTGAACCCCTAAATAGGGAGGTATAGGTTCCAAGGTTTAGGGTCCGATTTGCAGGTTTGGGGAGGGTATTTGATCGTAAGATATTTGCGAATCCTCATGGGCAAGTGATACAAGCCCTCAGCTTTGAGACGGAAGCCCAACACCCTGCATCGGCCTAAGTCCTTTGTTTAAACTGGGCTTTGAAGAACCATACTTTAATACTTCTTTGACTTAAAGGAACCGTTATGAAATAGAAGTTTATACGTTTTTCTCCCTGGCTACTTAAAAGCCCAGTTAACCACCCATCTCCTTGGGCTCGTTCTCAGGCTGCCGACGCATTGAAGAGCACCGGCCTGAGCCGGGAATGACTCAGTTCCAGGGTTGAGAGCTTTAAGGCCTTGCCTATAGTCTCCATTGTAGTTCCTTTTTTGGGTTTAATTAATTATATATTAGGGATCCTAAAAGGAAACCCCAAAAAGGAACTACAATGGAGACTATAGGTGGGTTTTGATGGATTTAGGCCTTTTGGGTAGGGCTTGAGAGACTTCAGGTCTTTCGGCTCGGGGCTGACAAAATTCGGCATGCGCCAACACTCAAACGAGAGGAACAGTCATTTGGCAAGCCAAACGCGAGCCATGCATAGATTTTCATATGACGCGAGTTAAACTTATATGTTTACATACATAATCTAGGACCTGGAGTAGGCCCTTATTCCCTTTTTTAGGGTTCAGGTTCCCTTATAAGCCCCTTTAAACCAAAAAGGGCACCCTTTTTATTCCTAGGTTACTCTCGGGTCTAGTAATACCTTATTTGGCTACACTTAAGGTTGCGGCTGTTTAGAGCTTCAGGACTATGGGTTCAGGGCTGTGGTTTCGGACTATCTTGTAAAGCTTAAGGGTTTGGGGGTTTCCGAAAATAGGGGACCCTAATATAGTACCTTAGATGGTAGGATCCTTTTCGGAAACTCCCGTTTCGAGTTCACGGGTTTTGGGTTGAAGGATGTAGAATTTGCCATGGGTTTAGGGTTTCACGGTTTGAGTGTACCTAGCTACACGAACCTCACAGTCCGAACAAAACAGCTAAAGCCGGACATGGATGGCTAGAGAGCAAGATCTTGCAGAGATGTATGGAGTAGGGGTATGCTGCATAAGATGTGACCGCAGCATCCCGAAACAGTATGGTCTCAGGCACCAAGGCCCTCCAACATAATAGTCCTTACCCTAAGGCCCCAAAGTAGTTCCTTTTGGGGGTTCATATATAGAATCTTATTAGGTAGTCCCAAAAAGGAACTTTGGGGCCTCTGGGTAGAGCCTCGGAGCAGGTAATGGCTACTTCATGTGAGTTTTCGTTGCCGGAAACCGTCGGTGTATCGAACCCACTGCCCTAAACCTTCAATCCGGAGTGGTCCTTCAAACCCTGAAGCTGTAACGGCGTTCATCCCCTTAAGCCCTCCTCACAGCTTGAAGTTAACCCCTTGACCCTCACACACTAAACCCAACCTTCAAACCTCGTAGTTTTACGTATGCCATATGCGACCTATAGCACTATAACCGAAAGTCCTACACACCCTGTTTTAGGCCCCCTATATTGCCGCAGGAGTCTCGCCCTCAGACCCTAAACCCTCAACCCCTAAAGCCCTAAGCCCTAAACCCTAAACCCCGGGGTTAAAACTTAAACAAGGGCAAAGTCTGGGGTTATAAGTTAAACAGGGGCGGGACCAGTGGCTCCCTCAACTATGGCGTTTCGGACGTATGTGCAGACGGAAAAGAGCCCATAAAAAGCAAAAAACAACAACCTAAACCCCTGAAGCCCTAAACCCTAAACGGTAAACCCTAAACCCTCAGACGGGGATCCGGCGGCTGCGGGGAAAGCGGCCAGCGAAGCGGCCGCTTCCGCCGCGGCCCAGATGGGTGCGAGCGAGGACGAATCGTAGGGTCCTTATAGTACTCTGACAGAAGCCCTTTAAGGAAACCCGTATAGTACCGTTAATAAGGGTACCATAAGGGTTTGGATAAAGTGGGCGTCAATAAGAGTACTTTCAGGATACTTTTAGGGGTGCAGGTTCTGGAGTTTAGCTCTTTCAGGGCATTGGTTTTTCAGGCAGGGTTTGGTGTTGAGAGTTCTAGGTGGAGGGTTTCAGGCCTTAGGGTCTTCTGCAAGAGGGTATGATATGAGTTTCAGAGGTTTCGGTTTCAATTTAGCTTCTAGTATATACGCAGGCCCTAAAGTACCTATTTTTATAGGGACTACTTAAGGTCGAAGTCCAGATTTTGTGGGCGCATGGACTCTAAACCCTAAAACCCTAAACCCACAAACCCTAAACCCTAAACCCTAGGCATAGACCCTTCAAGGGATTCCTCCAGCGACTCCTCTACGGGATTCCTTAGCATCCTTTAAAGGACCCAGAGACTCCAAAATCCCTTAATTAAGGAATATTCCATTAAATCATATCAAGGATCCTACTAGAATTTAAGGTATATTCCTTAATTAAGGGGTATTGGAGTCTCTGGGGAGGCCGATCCCCCAAAACCCTTTAAAGGGACCCTCTCTCGGCACTACTGGGGAAGCTTATATAGTTTCCTCATAACCCTAAGCCCTAAACCGCAAAGGGACCTTCTAGTATCCTTATAACCCTAAGCCCTAAACCGTATGAAGGGACCCTGTAGGGGAGCCGCCCCTCTCTCCTCGGAGGACAAAGTGTTCACGACGGCTGTCTCTGCTGCGGCAGAAGTGGCACTCGAGGCACGGTTGCAAAGGAAATTCGACGACAGAGTAGTCGTCTATACGGGTTTCGGTGTTTCTTGGGGGTGAGAGTTTGCATGGGGCTGTGGATTTAATTTGTGGGGGAGAGGGGGTCGGCTTTGTGCCTAAAGTTTGTGTTTCGTTTTGGGCTTAGAGTTGTTTGGATGCGGGTAATCAGCATTTCGGGCTTATAGGCACCTGTAAATACCGACCGTTGCAGAGAGGCCCCTGGGCTCTGGACCGGCACTGCTGCATCTGCACCACCACGGTGTGATTGCGAATACACTTCACTAGGTTCCTGAGTAGCTATCAACCCTGATGTGCTATGGAAGCTCTGAAATCTGAAGCCGTTCTCAGTGGCGAAACTGCAGAGGAAATTCTCAGACTGTCAACAAGTGAGAATGGGTTTAGGGTTTAGGGAATGTACCCCAGAACCCTGTCTTAATGTTAGAAAGCAGTTGTTGCAGCTTGGGACGAGTATGGCTCCAGGGCACCAGTCCTGCTGTCCTTGCGCTCGCCAGCAAAGCCTTCACCTAAGCCTGTTCGTCCAGAAGTGAACAAGATTTTTAGGTATTTGGGAGTTTCCGAAAATAGGGGACCCTAATATAGTACCCTAAATAGTAGGATCCTTATTATAAGGACCCCAAAATAAGGCACCCCTTCTTTTCGGAAACTCCCATTTGGGCTCAGGATAGATCTTCGGACCTCGAGTTTAAAAATTTAGGATTTCGGAGTCTGACGGTGCTGCTTAGAGTGTAGGTTGCTGTGCGCGGGGCTTCTGTGAAAGCAGAACCTTTAAGACAGTAGCTTTTGTTCAGCATCTGTTTATAAAGACACTGAGGCAGCCAAGCCGGCACAATGCGGGGTGACCCTAAACCCCAGACCTTAAACCCTTAACCCCAGACCCTAAACCCTAGACCGTCCTAAACCCTTAAACCCAGACCCTAAGCCCTAGACCGTCCTAAACCCTTAATCCCAGACCCTAATTCCTAGACCGTCTTACAGTTTAGGGTTTAGGGTTTGCCCTAAACCCTAAACCCTAAACCGGGTTTAAACTCTCAACCCTGAATCCCAGAGGCCGTGCTCAAGTCCGGCAAAGGCATCGATGCTGCGGCTGAGGAGGCAGAGGGGTGTCTCAAGGGGTCAGGCAACGATCCAATAGGGTGTCAGGGTTCAGGGTTTATGGGGGTTTATCGGGGTTTTTAGGGGTTTATAGGGGGTTAATTACAGGGGGTTACAGGGGGTTATAGGGGCTTATAGACTTATAGGGGTTTATAGGGGTTTAGGGTTCAGGGTTTCAGGGTTCAGGGTCTACCACGACCAGGGTTTGGGGTTTGGTTTAGGGGTTAGGGTCTATACTTTCCACCCAAAACAGCATTCAACATTATAACGGCCGCTGTATTGGACCGTCAAGCACGATGCTCAGCCAGACAGGGCTTGAGCATGTGGAACTGCATCAAGCTTAATGAGAAGCCTTACTGAACATGCTCCAAGCTGTAATCCTCCAACTTCAACCCTTCTGCCGGACCCTATCATGTCCAGGTAGGTCATTTAGGGTCCACGTTGGCCTTGCGCTGGACCGTTTGCTAAGCTGTCATGTTGCAGCCCTAGGTAACCTTTTAAGCTTCCCGTTGCCGCACAGTGAAGTACCGAATATCTTCTTATACTCCCCATACAAATATATATACCACAAACACACGCAGCTTCCCTCAGGCAGGAAAGGCAGCTCTGAAAGCGGGAGAGGCTTGTTTATTGGGAGGTATGGGTACGTTGAAGGTACAGAGTTGAAAGGTTATCAAAAGGTCTTGGGTTTGAAGGGGCAAGAAAATTTGAGCAAGGGTTCCAGATTTCGCGTGTTATGATCTATCCGGCCGTATTGAATATTCTCAGAAGTGTTCTTAGTTCAAGACACAAAAAGCTAAACCTAAGTCCTATGTATTGGTGCGTAGGTTAAGGGGGACTCTTGGAGCCTCAGGGTTCCCGTCTGTAATAGTGGTAAGATTCGCAGCGTGTTTAGGGTTTAGGGTTTAGGGTGGAAGCGATGGCTTGGATGATGTGGTAGTTGCTAGTTGCCGTGGGATGCTGTGCCTTTTATTGCTTCTGAAGGTTCTAGACAGCTGCATCGTGTATCCGCAAATCCCAAGTGCCAAACGAAGACTTCGAATTCACCTGAAATTTGGTTTCTATTTAGGGTTGGGGCTTCAGCGTATGGAAGGCTTTGTAGGGATGGCGGGCAGTCGCGCCGCAAGAAACACCTATGCCCGGCCCCCCCATTTCTAGCCCGAATCCAACCCAACTTTTAACACCAATCAGCTCAACATGCTAGACTCTGCTAGACTAAGCCGAACCCTATAATAAGTCTTAAAACCTACACGCCACAGCCTGACTACACGCTACTTTGGATCCTTTGTGAGAAGGCTTGGGTCACGTTGCTTTAAGCCCGAGCAGCCCACACACACATCGATTCCCAAGGCTGCCGAACCAACGGTGGGCTGCGGTATTTAGAAGGGTTGGTATGGAAGCCTGAATAATGCATGTTCCTGTGCGTACGGCTCCTGATTACATACGTTTGTTTGTAAGATGCCCCTGAACCTTATTCACGTTGTTCAGGCCCCCACTTTTGGATGCAGGGATTGGGGTAGGGCTTCAAGTCGTGTTTTTTTGGGTGAAAGGGGGAAGGGAGTTTCGACGTTAGGTCAATCCCTGCCAAGAACCATTGCCGCCACCCTGATAAGTATTAGTTGCTCTAGAACCGGAAGCAGAATTCCGAAATCCCTAACTCCCCAGACCCTTAGCCGTAAGCCCTAAACCCTAAACCCTATAAACCCTAAACCCTAAACCCTTAGCCGTAAGTCCCTAAACCCCAATCTCCAGCGGATCTGGAGGCTCAGCAGGGAGAAAAGGCCAGCGGAAGCAACGAGTGGAAGGTCAAGTTGGCTGCTCCTCGGCCGAAACTCATGGGGTAGGTAGTATTATAAAGGAGACCCCTTAAAGGGTACCCCTTCTGAACCCTACTTCTGGCTCTCTTAAAAGGGGGCCTTTTGAGAGGGTCTACTTCCCCAGGGTCCCCCTAATCCTAACTTCCGGGTTAAGAACCTACAGGGTGCAAACATCTAGTTTTGGTAGTTCATAACATGAACCTATGCAACTGAATAAGTAATTACGGATCCGACTGTTGGGCATATGAACAAAGGGGTATTTGGGCTAAGTGTTTTGGGTTGTTGGGTTCCGAGCGTTTTAGAGGTTTCGGGTCTTAGATTGACTGCTTAATATAGAGGCCTAAGATATTACCAATACTATTTTGGGGGTTCCTTGTTATAAGTATAGTATAATGGGCCCCCAAACCCTATTTTAATGATTAAGGCCCCCTTCTTATGGGGCTTTCAGGTGGCAGGTCCAGACCACGGTTGTGAATTGTATGTCCAGTTCGAAATAATTGTTTTATCCTGAGGCCTAAGGGTCCATGCACCCAACAAGTATAGACGCTGGCCGCAAAGTACCTCTATAGGGACTACCTTAAGGCCAACGTATATACTATTTGGGCACACGGATCCTTAGGGTTATAAACTTGCTTTATAAGCTGGCTCGGTTTCGAATGTCCGTCTGTATAGAAAGGTCGGAGTGCTTGGGCCTTGGCTACTCAATGTTGGATGGCGGGCTCCAAGGTAGACTATGTAAGCCCAAATCCCGGGCACGAGTCTTATTCAGGCATAGATGTTCTAGGGCTTCGGGAGGTTTTCTTCTGCAGACTGTGGAATGTTGCTTGGCATGTTTGGCATTGGCTTGGCTTGAAATCTGAGGTTTCCCTTGTGCCCAGTTCCTGTACGCAAAGTTCCTGATCTTGCTGGGTTGGGGCCATATATAGGATCAGTTAGGTTTTGCAGTGTGTGAGTACTTCTTTGAGGCTGCGCCGGCAGGGTCGCAGTTAAAAACAAACATTTACCGGCCATTCTTTCGGTTGGGTTGAACAACAGGAAACAATAATTCAACAACAGGAAACACTAATTCGCGTTTTGTAAAGGGGCTGCTAAGTGCGCAGATTCTGCAAAGAACCGGCAACCCCCAGTTCCCTTGTTCAGCCGAACAGAGCCTTGAACCTCCTCTGAAGCCGCATACCTGAGATCTCTCCGAGCGCTAAGCCTTTCCAAACCTCAACTTTCATAAGGGCTTGAGAAACCCCTAAACCTTATAAACGCTAAACCCGACATCTAAGGAAGCCGAACCTCTGACTGAACCGACTTAATTCAACTCAGAATGGCTCAGGACCCCATGTGTGAGGGTCTTTGAACCCAAAGGCCTTGAACACATGAGCCCATCCAGCCCTATACAGAAAGCCCTAATTGAAAAACCCTCTCAAACTCCGTAAAATCTTTATGAAGCCTAACAAGAGTCTTGGTAAACCCTTGCACAACCCCATCAAGCCGCATAAAGTTCAACACCTACAAGAGCCCGATAAGATTACGGCTAGAGATACAGAAGCAGAATTCTTCGTATTATCGTTGCTTTTCAGACAGTATGTTATTATTATCAGTATTATTACAATTACCATTATCGTCATCACGACTATTGTAATTTTTGTTATTTTAAGACAAAGCCCTCGTGAAGACAAAGGAGCTCGCTGCCAACAAGGCCGGAAGCCGCGCCGCCGATGAGGCCACGAAGGCCTCCCGCCATCCGGACGTTGATAAGGTTTAGGGTTCTAGGCTATATATTTTCAGAAAATACATATATATATATATATATATGTATATAGATAGATAGATAGATAGATAGATAGATAGATAGGACTTGTAAGGTTTAGGGTTTATAGGGTTAACGGCTTTAGGGCTTATGGGGTTTAGGGTCTATAGGGTTACAGGCTGTAGGGCTTGTAGGGTTTGGGGTTCAGGGTTATAGGGCTCAGGGGTTGTAGGGGTTAGGTTCATGGCTTGTCGGATGTCGGGAGTTTATATATATATATATACACATGCAAATTATATAAGTATAAGGTGTACGGCATTTATAGGGTTTCCTGTTCAGGGCCTTTCTGTTCTGCAGAGGCTTACCATTTGTAGTTTTGGGTGGATCGAGGGTTTGGGATTGCGGGATGCCTTCGAGTGGAAATCTTGGGTTCAGGGTCTACAGTAAACCCCATAAAGTTGGAAACCGGATTAAGGCCAAATAGTGCTAGGGTTCCATATACACTACTCTTAAGGACTTAGGTTATGGGGTTTCCAACTTTTATAGGCTTCTACTGTAGGGTTTCTCGCCTCAGGCCTTTGCTCAGTTGGATCGCAAGAGCCGTCGATATCGCTAAAGACCTACCTCGTAGTAGAGCATGTAGCCTTTTACCTTTTTGGGGTAGTATGGTCCCTATATAATCCCCATATAACCCCAATGGTTTAGCTTTAGTTCCCCATGATACCCGACAAGTAGGCCTAGAGCAGCCACACTATGAGTCACCCCTCTAGCCCTGAAGCCCTACCAGGATGCCCAGTAGTACCCTTATTCCCTTTTTGTAATCCTAGGTTTCCTTAGAAAGTTACCCAATATTAAAAAAGGGAGCCCTGTTTGTTCCTAGGTTACTGGGCATCCTAGCCTACAAAACCCTATGGACTCCTATAGAGTTAGCATAGACCATTTCCATTTTCAACTCATGCACCCCCCCCTAGCACCCAAGCCATAACAACCTATACCTCAACCCTAAACCGACCGAAAGACTCACACCAATACCCATATCATGGAACCACCAGAAGACCCATAGGAAGACCCACATAGAGAAACCCCAACCTCATCCCCATACTCCCGCACCTCCATAGAAAAACATATTTCCTAGAAAATGGAAATGGTCAAGGCTACTCTTTAATCGAGAGCTTACATTCTCTATCATCTCAAATACAATATCTATACTAGGAAGAAGGTTCAGGAAGAAGGTCGAACCGACTAGAACGATATTTGCGGTACAGCATGAGCTACTTGTCCAAATTCCGTTTTCAGCTTCGACCGCACCCTCACTGGGCATTTCTTAGCCATTCCTCAATGGCCTTGAAAGCTGGCCTGGCATTTGCCTTGTTCTTTCAGGCACAAAGGGCGCCATTCCAGTCTTTTCTTACGGTCCGTCCTGGCTCCTGGTTCGTTCGCACACAGGGTCAGTCACGTTTCGCCTGGCCAAGCAACATCAACAGACGGACTCGGACTTGCGCATTCTCAGCACGTTCCGGAGATGTTCGAGTTTCCAACAGTCGTGTGAGGAAGACAGCATTCAGGGGACATGCGCAGCGCGGCTTGCCAGTTTCAGAAGTCTCAGCCGTTTTGCAAAGGTGTGCAATGCGGGCAGATGGTCAGCTCGTCTGCTTTGGAGCCAATGGTAACGGGCAGCGTGAGGTCCCAGCAGATTTGGGACCAGCTTTGGCAGTCGCTGCGGGCAGTTTTCATACCTGTGCAAGGCGAGCAGATGGTCAGCTCGTCTGTTTTGGAGTGAAGAATTATGGGCATTGTGACGTCCCAGAGGATTTGGGACCAGTTTTGGCAATCGCAGCGGGCCGTGATCATACCTGTGCAATGCGAACAGATGGTCAGCTCGTCTGTTTTGGAGACTATACTTATCGGCAGTGTGACATCCCAGCAGATTTGGGACCAGTTTTGGCAGTCGCAGCGAGAGAATAGTTATGGGCAGCGTGACGTCCCAGCGGATTTGGGACCAGTTTTGGCAGTCGCAGTGGGCAGTTATCATACCTGTGCAGTGCGGTCAGACGGTCAGCTCGTCTGTTTTGGAGACTATACTTATCGGCAGTGTGACATCCCAGCAGATTTGGGACCAGTTTTGGCAGTCGCAGCGTGCGAGTGTCATACTTGTGCAATTCGAGCAGATGGTCAGCTCGTCTGTTTTGGAGAGAATAGTTATGGGCAGCGTGACGTCCCAGCGGATTTGGGACCAGTTTTGGCAGTCGCAGTGGGCAGTTATCATACCTGTGCAGTGCGGTCAGACGGTCAGCTCGGCTGCTTTGGACGCAATGATTATGGGCAGTGTGACGTCCCAGCGGATTTGGGACCGATTTTGGCAGTCGCAGCGGGCGCTTATCATACCTGTGCAGTGCGGTCAGACGGTCAGCTGGTCTGCTTTGGATGCAATGATTATGGGCAGTGTGACGTCCCAGCTGATTTGGGTCCAGTTTAGTGTGCCATATTCGTGCCGCGCAGGAAGAAACAGATAGTCAGCTTGTCCGCTTGGGAGATAGCTTTTTATGGAAAGAGTCATGTGCCCAACCGGTGATTGTGAATGAAATGGAGACTGCTTACCCTCAAACCTTCAGTAGTTCAAGTCTGAGATACTGCCTAGTATTGCCCTCAACTCTGTAATAATTTTGACCTAACTTATTTTCAATTATTTTCTATGGTATAAGTATTCTGTGACCAGTTGCTCACTCTTTCTTTTTCATTAGGTTTTCGCTTCCTAAATATCTTAACTTCATCTCCTACATCTAAATCGGGATATACGCGGTTCTTCTTGCCCTTCATCGTTGAATTTAATTTCACTTTGAATTGATTACTGGGTTTTCGGGCTTCTTTTGGCGTAAATCCCGTGGCTGAGTGCTTCATTTGATTGTTATAGGTTAGTAATGTTTCTGATATGTAGTCTGGCCATTGGATGTTTTGTTTTCCTTTTTTCTCATCGGCTTCAACTCTACGATATAATAAATCTTTAGAAGTTCTGATGGCTCTTTCGCTAAAATTTGGGTGCGCCCTCGTTCTCGCCCTCGTTCTGTGATGTTCTATGTTCTCATCCTTCAAATACTTGTGTATGGCTTCCTTGTTCATCGCTCCCTCTTCGTCTGTATAAATTATCTCGGGTGTCTTTCCCATCTTGTTTAAACACTCAATCTTTCCACTCGCTAAATCCTCTTCCTTTTTTCCTTTTATAGGCACTACACACATAAACTTATCAAATACATCAACCATTAGCATACCCTAAACTTTTGTTCATCCATATCGTTTATAAAAAACAAATCCATCTGATACTCATATGCGGAATGAGGGGCGATAAAACGACCTACCGGCCTTCTTTTTGCTCAACATTCTTTCTAAACAACTCATTAATATCGCCCATTGTTATGGTTTTGTCCTTCTCCCGTGCCTCCGCTAGTGTTCTGGATTTACTGCCAAACCCCGCTCTATCAAAATACACATCATTAATAATTTTCTGCTTCTCGCTCATATAAATAAGTAACAAAAGAAATGATTTAATATAACTAAATAAATCATCATTATTTAAGAATTAGGCATAATCACTTTGTATTCATTCATATCGTATTTGGGAGCTCCGCGTTTCTTTCCGCTAGGTTTCTTATCTGTAATGATTTCATTAATCTGACTTGGTGTTAAGTTTTCATCGCTTAAATTATTTTCTTCTATGTACTCCTTAAGTTTTCTTTTTGGTTGTGTCTTAAACTTGCTTCGCGCTTCTTCAGCATAAGTTGTTCGTCTTCTTTCCTTTTGTTATGATAAAGCCGTTGATACAATGCCAGTTGTTGCTTAATCTCGTCCATTGTCATATCCTCGGGACTTTTGAAATGTGTCGTACAACTATACTATGTATTTATACTGTTTCTTTAAATCAGTTTCAAGTTTCGAAAATATTACAAGAATTTCTAGAAAAAGTATTTAAAAAGAAAATAAGCTTATATAGTAATTATGTTGTATATGAGCAAAAATAGTAAGGGTAACACCTACTCGGTAGATGCGTTGTTTTACAGACTGAAGAGCGAAAAAAACGAAAAGGAGCTCAAGACCGCGTTTAAAGACAGCAAAGGTCGCCCTTACATTATTTTATGGAAAGACCCGAAAACAGTGAATATAAAACCCATTAATTACATAGAAGACATAGTTAGAAAAAGGGTATTTCGCACCGAGAAGGACACTGCGAGACTGTTTTTTTTAAGTTGTTTCAAACCTTACTAACCGACCGAGAAGCATATGACGAGTTAGAATTTCATAAGAACTACATTGACTGTATTAAATTACTCAGTGTAGAACGCGTTGATGACGATGTCAATTTTGACCCTAAAAACGAAAAACTAACAAATACCGCTAATTCAAGTATGTATAACATCTACATCCAAACACCTTTAGACCCCGAGCTTGAAACCTTTAAGGAAGCGATATATAATTGTAAAGCATTACAAAGAAAACGAATGTTGGTTCAACACCATCACCGATTGGTATAAGGATACACTAATTGGCGAAAAAAGACGAGAGAAGAACCGATTAGCAAAATAACATATGTTAAAAGTGATGAATAAAGCCGAAGAGGATTTCAAAACAAACGGGGCATCAATACAGGATATGGTGCCGGTCTTTGAACATTACGGCATCCAAGTAAGGATATTTAACTCTTTCAAAAAGCCGATTTTCAAATACTCGCCGACCAAGTACAACCACCATATACCAACATTATATGCCCTAGTTGGAAACAACCACATCTACACAGCGAACGACCACCTACAAACGTTACGGCAGATGGTGGCGCTCCGCGAAAACCAAGATGTATCGGTTAAGGCATCTCCAGATTACCACACAAACGAGAAAGACGAACCCACTGAATGTAAAATGATACAGTCCTTAAACGACCTTAAGAAATTCAGAGAGAAAGACAATTAGACATTAATATACGATGTCAATGATCT